AACTGGGAATTTGACACATCAGAGTTTGACACAACAAGATTTGACTGCTTATACAAAGTAAGTCAGTTATACTTTGAATTACATTCTTTTACAAGTAGGATACAAAAGATAACCTTCAATCAGATATGATCATTGTAGCATGTGATCGTTGTAGCCAGTATATTTGTAATGCTCGTGTTTAGAGTGAGTGATAATGGTTTTACACCACTTTAAGCAATATTCCAGCAATATCGCAGCGGGGGGCATAAGACATGGGCGTCACACATTGTATCTGTGTGGGAATTCAAAACAGGGTCTTCGGCATGACCAGCAAATGCTTTAACCATTAGGCTACCCCACCGCCCAACACATTCGCATTGCAGATAGGACCCGTGAAGATACGGGGTAGAATAGGTCTTCAGCAACCCATGCTTGCCGTAAAAGGCGATTATGCTTGTCGTAAGAGGCGACTAACAGAATCGGGTGGTCAGGTTTGCTGACATGGTCGATGCATGTCATCGATCCCACTTGCGTGTAACTTAGGACTCAAGGCTAACAAGGAAATATGAAACCAACTGATAGTCATGTTTTCAATCATACCAAAGATTTATTGAGTATTTGTAACATAACAAAGTATTGTATGCAACAGACTGTAAAGTCTAATTAAATGTATTCTAGAAAAATGATAAAATGAGCTTGTAATGAAAGAAAATAGTATAGGACAATGTCAAGTATGTCTCCATGTTGTCATTACAGTCTAGGCTCAGGTCATCATAAAGACTTACAGCTTTACTGGTGAGGTGAGGTGAAGTGAAGTGGGGTGGGGTTTAATGTCGCATTCAAGATTATTGCATTTATGTAGCTATGGGCATGTACCAATCTCATTAAAATTATATCTTAGTTCTCGCTACCGCTAACAAAGATCTGGGGACACCCAATTATGGGTCCTCATCTGAGGACACCCCATTATGGGTCACCCATGAAGAATCCGGGGAAGAATAGATCTTCAGCAACCCATGCTTGCCGTAAAAGGTGACTATGCTTGTCGTAAAAGGCGACTAACAGGATCGGGTGGTCAGGCTCGCTGACTTGGTTCATGCATGTCATCAATCCCAATTGCGTGGATCGATGATCATGATATTGATCACTGGATTGTCTGGTCCAGACTCGATTATGTACAGACCGTTGTCATATAGCTGGAATATTGCTGAGTGCGGCATTAAACAACAAACCAACCAACCATTATGGGTCACGTCAGACCAACCTTGCGTGAACTTTGACCGACCAATGCAATGACTGACCAGAAGTCAACATTAGCCAATCAGAGGGCACCTTTCTCGTGCTTTACGGTACTAATTTCAAATTGGTGACAACGCTTCGAAACATATTTTGACAAATTCTCAATTAGAAATTTGAAACCTGAACAAAAGAACATTCTGGAATGGCTAATGGATGGTCTAGATTGTATGGATTCAGTTTTTAAGCCTGTAACTATCGTTCGGAATACCCTGTGTTTAGAAATCACATTCCGACCGTCACTTTCATGATCTGGTAAGTGACGTTCTCATTGGTCGGATGAAAGGTCGTTCTGACGTGACCCTTAATGGGATGTCCTCAGATCTTTGTTTGTGTTGCGAGAACTAGTATCTGTTTTTATTGAGATTGTGCATGTACATGTGTGTGTGCGTGTGTGCATGCGTGCGTGCGTGCGTGCGTGCGTGCATGCGTGCGTGGATGTTTGTTCTAGTCCAGACTAATGCCAATTTTCCAAATAATAGCCCACTGCGATACCATGCCCCAGTTTTAACATGGATACTCCACTCAGACACTCAGACACTCAGACACAGTATACTGACTCCTGCAACAGACCAGTCCTTGTTTTATCCCCTCAATCCCGCTAGGCAGGGTAACAAAGAGTACCATCTTTTAACAGGATTTTTATATGTTGCAGCTGGAGATCGAACCACAGACCCCCAGGCAGGGTAACAAAAAGCACCATCTTTTAATTGTTTTTTGGGGGGGTATGATGTGGCTGGAGATCGAACCACCAAATATTTGAGTATGTACAGTGACCTACTTTGTTTAAGGGACCATTATTGGGGTTTCCTGAATTCAGTTCAACTAATAAAAATATTGAACTCAACCCATGTTTCTTCACTCAGTATCTTTGCCAACACAAACAGTCTGTAATATTTTCATGGTAGAAAATAAATAAATAACTTTTCAAGGTAAACGTAACATGAAAGCTCATGTGCCTTGTTCAAAATCCAAATAAGAAATGAAGTATCTTTTAGCAGATGTTAATGTTTGGTTGATATGTTGATATGTGTAGCCCTTGGGAATGTTGTTGATATACTTGTCACTCAAATTCACTCTCAGTGTCATGCACTACTACATATCCTTGGGTTGGGGCTACAGGGTTATACGAGATGCACAAATATGCGTACCGTATGCACAAATATAGTGAATGGACGCAGAAAAAGAATATGCTGTGTCATTGTAGCTATAGCGCATCAAGAGCAGTTATGGACGTCTGTCATTTCATCTATCAATCATGACCACTGTCCAGATGATCAATGATTAATTCCAGGCTCTAAAGTAATTATCTAAACGTACAGTATGCTACACCATTTCATTACTCCACAGGACCTTCATATTGCCTGCAAGGACCCTACAAATTTATTATTGGGTTTCCCTGGAACCAGTCTTTTGTTAGTCAAGATAAAACTCTGGGTCAATGAAAGATTTTGAGTGACTTAACGTAGTTCTGCTTCTTTGTTCACTGAGCCACTCCCAGGTGTGTTTGTGTCACATGTTTGTAGGAGCTAGCATCCTTGTTTCCAACTTGCAATTATCAAGTATGTGGTCAGGTAAAACCGAGAGCCAAGGTAATCGGACCAGAAGTATAATATTTGTTATTGAGGTAGCTACAGGCAGGGTTTTGCATGATGCAGAAATATGTGTCCAGTATGCACTAATGTAGAGAATGGAAGGAGATGGTGCTTCCCCCATGAAATATAAAGATCCTGTAAATTAAAGTAATGTACAGTACACTACACCATTCTGTTACTTTTGTTACTTCATGGGGTCCTCATAATATTTCCTATAAGGACCCTTGAAATTCATTACCCCCCGGACCCCCAGTTTTGGAAGTCAAGGTAAAATCCTGGCTGTAGGTATACTACTCAAAGTTTGCTAAGGGTCACCACTTTAAAAGGTAATAGGTCAAATGGTTTGCTTCTGATGATATTGCGTGAAGACATGTTTAATGAACAAAAGTCTGTTGTAATGTGCCACACAACGCCACCGGCGTCTCATGTTCCCAATAAGTGTCTGGAGTGTTGCCAAAGGAAGATTGTTCCTTCTTCAGTAAGAGCATTGCTGAGTTCCTGTGGAGTTGCTGGAAAGATAGGCTATCGTGAGATGGCGGTCTGTAGCTCGTTTAACTTGTGTTCAATGGGGTTGAGGTCTGGTGAGGGCTGGCCACTCACATGTGGACAATGGTCTCCTCCTCTAAGTAGTCATCAGTGAACCTGGCGCGATGAGGCAATGATTTATCGTCCTTGAGGATGAAGTCCGGTCTGATTGCACCAGCATGCAGTCTCAAGTACACGTCCTGAATGTCATCCCTCAAGTGCACACCTGTCATCGTGCCCTGCTGTAGGACATGGAGATTGGTTCTTCCAGCTCTACTGATCCCACCCCAAATCATGATTGAGCCCCCTCCATTGTGGTCATGTTCAGCTACTTTGGAATCCTGAAATCTTTCTCCTTCTCTCGGGCACAACGATCTGTGAAGTCTGACAGTATCTCGATTCATCAGTGAGTGAGTGAGTCGCTTTTAGCAATATTCCTGCTATATCACAGTGGAGGACACCAGAAATGGGCATCCCACATTGTACACCTCTCAGTCATTGAACTCGGGTCTTTGGCTTGACGAACAAATGATTCATCAGTGAAAAGTACTGAAGCTCAGTCCTGGTATCTCCAATTGATGTGATCTTCAGCCCAATCTAAACATGCCTTCCTGTGATGTCAAGTCTGTGGGATGCGAATGCATGCCCTCCCAGATCGGAGTTGAGACGTGAGAAACGTAAATGCCTCTGTCGTTCTGCAGGTCATTTCTGAATGTGGTGGCAGTCATGAAGTCATGACGCCTTGCTGCAAACAGGAAAACTGGTCCAAAGACTATTGCAACGGGATGATGTGTTGACCCAGTCATTTTTGGTGTCAAAATAATGAGTGGATGAGCTGTCATGTCATTGGATTTGCAGGCCGTCGTCACATGGTTGGAGTACTGCTGTGTAGCGTCAGCAACAATAAAATAATAACTTTGTGTGAGTGGCAAGTGCTACCGGTGGGTCAGGTAATGCTTGCCCTTTACGAACACCTGGTGTCATCCCTGATTTTCTGGGATCTTTTCATATAAATTTTACCGCTATTTTTCTTTTACGTCCAATAGAATCTGTTTTGGCACAAAAGTGAGACTTGTTGTTGACGTGTTATATATTTGATCATTATTCAAAAATATTGATTTGAGTTTTGTAATTGTATGTTTATTATTTATTAATTCATCAAAGACAGATGAAATAAAATAAATTAAAACCAGTCAGAACAGTGTTCGAAATACCTGCCTGCCCGACCGTCCGAGACGGGTTGATTTCAACTCGGGCTGCCAGATTTTCAAATCCCCCTGCCCGACGGTCGGGTTATATTTCATATGTAAAAATATTCTAAATATTTCCCGATGATAAGCATTATTTACATGATGTATTCTAGGATATTAAATACAAATCTGACCTAAAAAGTGTTTTCTATTTCTTTTCTTGCATCACTTCATGTTCAATGAATTCGATTTAAAGTTTTAATTAAATTATCCTGAGAAACATATGATTATAGTGGGCAGGCAGGTTTTGGTCAGGGCCGGCAAGTATTTCAGCTAGCCAGTCCTGTGGTCTGGCTGAAAATTTTGGGAGTTTCATACCCTGGTCAGTAAATGTAATAATTAAAAGGATGTTGCCTTATATAATGGTCACCAGCTGGTTACTGGCTGGCTAACTGACAGCCTACAAGTACAACCTACCACAAATATGATGAGTCACTCATGTAAAACAGACCAGGGGGTCTATGAACAATGGATCTCCCATCTAACAAAGACCCTCACCCAAAATAGTAGGTGTTATAACATGGCCCACTTCTATAGCCTATAATGACTCTTGTAACCTTGAACTTTTGAAGGGGGGAATATAACCCTGAAATTACATTTTCCATAGTTAGGTTTGACTGGTGAGAGAGTATGGCCCTGAAGGAGTATATCCATGGCCTGGATCATATTATTAAGATGTTGAACTGTGTTTTCAATGTAATATTTCTGCAGCTGTGATGAAAACATCCTTATTTGGGGCAAAGATATGGAAACAAAGGGCCCTGAAAGTGGATGATGATGTGACTAGAGAGATGTTTGTGTTTTAGATGAGGTAAGGTGAGGGAAGGGAGGAGGATGTGACATGGCCAACCAACGATGCATGATAGCTGAGGTAAACAACAGCCACATCGCAGGTAAACGACGCAGATTAGAGGACTATGACTGCCAGGTGAACGATTCCTGTGACAAAAACAGCAACGGAATGATTACAGGTAAGAATATGAGTTACAAGGCTAGATTAACTGTTGCCATGGTTATGGGCTGTATCACAAAGGAATAAATGTTTTCAAGCTCGATCATAAAGGGGAGGGTGGGCCAGTGAGATATGTTACAGTTAAAACACAACTCTGAGGATTTGGTTGGGAAAAGCCCTTGCTCAAGGTTTTACGTTTTCAACCAAAATCTAACTTAAGAACCATCTAATTGCAAAAAATACCAGAAAGTTTAAAAAACCATTGTGATATCTTATAGTGCATCTTCCCGTGGCAAGAGAGTTAACTGACTTTAAAAGTCCGGTTTCCACCCTTGCCGAACTAGGCTGGAATTACTAGGCTCGATCGTAGCGCCACAAGTGGCTATTACCAGTTATGTCCCTTCTAAGCCTCTCCTATGGACCAATCAGATTCCACTTCTCATATCACTTGTGTTTGCTTCACACAAAATGGTGGCGCTGAGTCAGGACGATCTGATCGATAATCAAGATCTATTTTATGATAAAACGGGTCTTACATCGCACCTTGATAAAAAACATGAACAGATTTGGAAAATATCTGCTGACAACGGGTTGGCTGTGCACATGCTTCGCAAATCCTGCAATCAACCGAAATCTGCACGACAGTTTATGAACCGGATTTTGATTTTGGTGCGCGATTTTGATTGGACTATGCATAGACTCGTTAGCCCAGCCAAAATGTAACTCCATAATACCAGTCAAGTTCGGCAAGGGTTGAAACTGGACTTTTATAGTCAGTTAACTCTCTTGCCTCGGGAAGATGCTTATAGTGAAGCAAAACAGTAGTGGTGTAAAACGAATTCGATAACAGCGGGTGAGAAAAAGAAACTGAAGTTCGGGACATGTAAGATTGAAGACCCTTTCATTACCTGCCCCGGTGGCATATTACTAATTATGATATGTGAGCTTGCAGGTTCAAATTTCTGAATGGAATTTCATGTGAAAACATTGTGACTTTTGATGTGTCAATAATCAACATTAGATGCATATTAAGAAGATGTTTATAGATCTTTAGTGATGTAAACACTACCTCATGAGAGGTTCTTCAAAATGTTGATAAACATCAAAGGAAGACAGATTCGGGAAATACGGCATTTATTCCAACAAATTTTAACTGTCTTGACAATCTGTGAGGTTTCTCAATAAAATGTAGGCCTAACAGTAGGATGATGTCACTATAGATTGATAAGTGTAGGAAAAGACAATATCATTAAAATCAGATCTTAGTTCTCGTTATTGCTAAACAAAGATCTGAGGACATCCCATTACGGGTCACATCAAAACGACCTTTTTATCCAACCAATCAAAGCGTCGCTTACCAGATCATGAAAGTGACAGTCGGAATGTGTTTTCTAATCATGCAACCTTGAAAACATTAACACAAGGCATTCCGAATGACAGTTACGGCCCGTACGACTGATTCTGTCAAAATTATCTCTCACTTACGTGGGATAAACATTTGAATGAAGGAGGCATTGCACAGAATGTGGGAAGCACTGCCATACAATCTCAACCATATATTAGACATTCCAGAATGTTCCTTTTCAAAAGTTTAATCGAGAACTGTGTCAACATATTTTTCAAGCGTAGTCTGAAATGGAAGTCGCTAGGTTAAAACGAGTGCCATAAAGCTAAAGAAAGCTGCTTTCTAATTGGCTGATGTCAACTTCTTGCTAGTCATTTCAGTGGTCGGTCAAAGTTCACGAAAGGTCGTTTTGACGTGACCCGTAATGGGATGTCCTCAGATCTTTGTTTAGCGGCATTAGATCTGATTTTAATGAGATTGAGGAAAAGATGGAGAGAGTTTAAGATGTCAGGAGCAAAACAACAGAGGGTGAGATGGAGAGAAAAATGTTTGGGTTGGCTGGATGAAATGCGGCGAGGATAGGCAAGACAGAAATGTGGAGTGTGATCTGGAGAGAATTAGGGGCAGTTCATCTGAACACTCCCTGGGTTTGTACCTCTGAAATGAGGTCAATTATGTTTCATAGGTGTCAAATAAAACCGACTCATTCTATGAACATAGTGTGAACCCTCTGGTTGGCTGACATTGACAGCCAAACTAGGCTGTAATTTCTGGGCTCAATCGTGGCTAGAGCAAGTTATGTCCTTTCTATGTCCCTCCTATTGACCAACCAGATTCCGCCTCTCATATCACTTGCATTTGCTTCAAACAAATGGTGATGCTCAGTCAAGACGATCTGATAGATAATCAAAATCTTTATTGTAATAAAACAGGTCTTACTTGGTAAGGTGCATCAAGTCATGTGAGCAACTTCATTAAAAACATGAAAATATTAGGAAAAATATCTGTTGACGCCCAGTTGGTGGTACACATGCTTTGCAAATCCTGCAATCGAGCGAAATCTGCACCATTTTCATTACTCGATTTCGATATTGCCTCTGGAAGATGCCATCACCTGAGAATACATATGTCTGTCAAATCACGTGAAAACCTTGAATATACACATGAAAAGATTTGGAACATATATGTTGTGCGATAAATTGCGGTACACATGCTTTGCAAATCTTGCAATCGACTTAAATTTGCATGGCAGTTTCCGAACTGGATGTCTGTTTCGTTGTGATATTTTGATTGGACTATGCATAGACTCATTAGTGCAGCTAAAATATTAAGCGAGCCTAGTCAGTTAACTCCCTTGCCTTGGGAAGATGTGCAATGTTAACTGAGCGCTCATTACTCGCTTACTTCGGCCTTTGTTTGATTTGTTAAAAATAGCGACAACATCGTATGACAGACATATGAATTCACAGATTTTGATTATCAATCAGTATGGGTGACTAATGGACTGGAAATCACTATTGCGATAACTATTGATATCGAAAGAAACTATTGCGATAACTATTGATATTACAAGCATCTATTGCGATAAATATCGATGGTTTTCAGTGTCATTTTAGATGGATCTTACAGTTGAATTAAACCTTGGAACTGAAGTTTCCTTTGAATGTGATAACCATAACAACAAATAAAAAGTAGAGTTTGAGATATGACTGATTCGTTTTTTCTTTACCCTAATAATTTAAGAAAAAGTAACTTCCACATTACCATGTGTAAATTACTAACACTCATGATCAAAAGAAACACAAATTCGAACAGCATTGTATATATTTTATGGATTTGGTAAATACAATCAAAACTTTCAATATTCCTAACTGAAATCGATACTATTGATTGGAAACTGATTTAACAATCGATTTATTGACTTTTACTGCTTACCGATAGCGATATATTGATATTTCGATTTATCGTGACACCCCTATCAATCAGATTGTATTGATTTGGCGCTGCCATTTTTGTTTGAAGCAAATGCAAGTGATATGAGAGGTGGAATCTGATTGGTCAATAGCAGGGATGTAGAAGGGACTATTAATATAATTACAACGTTTTTCATCTGATATTTTTGAATATCTGCGAGTACCGGCACATGTCTTGCAGTCCGACTTCGCAGTGTTTTTTCCTTTCATTTCCTGGTTTGGCTTATCTGCGGGTCATATCATTTTCTTACGTATTTCAATGGTCAAGTTAACACCTCGGCTTATCTACGGGGTCGGCTTATCTGCGGTCATATACGGTAATAGCTACTTGTCGCGCTAGGATCAAAACCAGAAATTCCAGCGCAGTTCAGCAAGGGGGGGAAACTGGACATTTACAGTCAGTCACAGTCGGGAAGATGAGGTGATGAAGGAATGCAGTGTGTGATTCATACAGACCCATGACGATGGGGAGGGTTGGCCAGAGAATATCAGGGGAGGAAACCCAAGTGACAAGTATTTGAATTCTGTTTGTAAGAATAAATTTTAATATTGTTTATTTTGAAGGTTTGTAAATTATTGTAATTATATAATTTTAACATGATTTATGTTTCACTAGGAAACAACCATTTCTTCCCAATCCGCCGCAGCAATTGTGTCTTCCACACTGAAGAGTGGAATCCGACAGGAACCGCCTTGTTTAAGCCACTTTTCGAGGATCTGCTGATAAACTCACTCAAACATGAACAGATCAGTTGTGGAGAAGGGGATTTTTTCATAGCTGACGATCAAGGGAGCTACTCACAGACTGTCCCAGGTATGATGAGACGAAACAAAGATGCAGTTGGGTAGCCGAGTGTTTCAAGCATTTCCTGGTCGCACTGAAAACCTGAGTTTGTTTCCGTAATACTGTTGCTATGTGTGATACGCATTATTGGTGCCAACAATTTGGATTCCGGGCTAGACTTCCCTAGCAACATATGCTGGTCATAAGAGGCAATTTAATGCATCGGATGATAAGACTTGGTAATTAATCTGATGGCGTGTCAATGTACCGTAAGGCATGGATTGTTGCTCATTATATCAATCACTGGATTGTCTTGTATTATTTACAGGCTGCTGTCATATAGCTAAAATACTGAGTGTGGCGTTAAACAAAAGACAAACAAACATCATTGGTGCCATAATATGGCTGGAATATACCTCAAAGTGTCATAAACCCCAACTCATTCACTCATCAAAGTAGTTTTATCTATTCAGTATGAACATTTATAAAAAGTCACAGATGAACTGGTTTTCAGGGGAAATGATGCTGACAAAATTTCTTTTCTCAGCTGGGACTTTAATATTTGAACTACAATTCCCACTTGTCAAAAACTACTGTTGCCCTTTGATTAAGTTTTGCATTATTTGTTTCAGATAAATAGGGAAGGAGGTTTTATTTTGTTTGTTTTATTTTTTAAGCATGTTCAGTAGGTTACCAAACTGTCAGTAAACTTGATTTTATGCACCACATGACCTCTTTTGTGGGAAAAAAATGTTTCTTAATTATATTAAAAAGTGCTAAAAAATAAAATAAAAATGCTAGGGACAGTCAGGTCATGAGACACATAAAATTATGAAAACAAACCTAAAGTGTCACAAACGAACATATATGATTGATTAAGCCTGTGATCCCAACACTGAACCATGTGAGAGCTCAAAAGCTGTTTTGTTAGCAAGCAGGGATTAACAAAAATATAGTATGCAGAATCTATATAAACCTTAGGGGCAAGTCTTGGGTGCAGCATTTCACCTTTATATTCTGTTTAGATGAATATTGAAACTGTAAGTTATTGTGTAATACGCCTGTCCTGGAGCAGTAAGATGTAGATTAACCCATTTTGTGAGAAGGAGACCAGAAATGGGCTTCACATATTGTACCCATGTGGGGCATCGAACCCGGGTCTTTGGCTCTTTAACCTATAGACTACCCCACCACCCCAACTTGTTTAGTGTTTGGTTTGGGTCACAGTATTCATAAACACTGTCAGACTATGATGCTGAATGATAGTAGGAAGGTTAGTCTGCACTTTGCTTCATACCTGCTGCATTAAGGTTAGGAAATGTCAGCATATATGGTCAGCAGAAAAAAAAGCTAAATATTATGTTAAAAAGTTGGAGTAGTTGGATCTGTGATCCAAGTTCTGGGTGATAAGACAATGGTTCCTTGATAATGGTTGGCATGCTTATAGAACATGATGATGTTGCTTGTCAGTTGCCTCATGGCTTTGGTCTCATTACATATTATCATGATTAGGTAGAAATGACCCGTCAAGATGTGGGGTAGAATAGGTCATCAGTAACTCATGCTTGCTGTAAAAGGTGACTATGCTTGTCATATGAGGCGACTAACGGCTTCTGGGGGTGAGGCTCGCTGACTTGGTTGATGCATGTCATCGTATCCCAATTGCGTGGGTTGATGCTCATGATATCAATCACTGGATTGTCGGGTCCTGACTCGATTATTTACAGCTCGCCGTCATATAGCTGGAATATTGCTGAGTGCAGCGTTAAACAACAAACAAAACAAAGAAATGAAAAGGTTTTTTGTTGAGCTCAGATGTTTTATCCTGAATGCATTTCAGTCCCATTACATTTTCTATTATGTTGCATGAACAATTATATACACATTTTGTAAAGTCTATTGTTAGGATCTGGCGTTCCATGGTGCAGTGATTCAGGCAATATCACTACTATTCATGCAATAAGAACAAGTATTACATGAGTTGTCTGCCCTAGGTCAGGTGCTCCACTGTAGTACATGAGTTGTCTACCCTAGGTTGGGTGTTCAACAAGTATTACATGAGTTGTCTCCCCTAGGTCGGGTGCTGCATCTGTGGAAGTATGACAAGCTGGAGAAGAAGCTCTACATTGCCCGATCGTTCCTCTTCACCAATCTACAGGTAACTCTGAAATTTGACAGTCAGTCTCAGAGTCCCTCAACCATATTATTTTCCCTTCCGCCCAGCCCTTCGTGTAAATGCAATAGCCCTAAATGAAGCAAGTCTAGATTTTCCACAGGTTCTGAATCTCCCATCTCACTGGGGTTCCTTATCTATCTAAGTGGAGTTGCATGTTTCTATCAAAAATATATATTTTCCGAGACTAAGTGTTAGTCTGTGCTTTTTGTGATTGTCATTTTATCCCTTTTGACAGGAGTACATGACTGTCCAGCAGTTTCTACAAAAGTTGTGACTTTGACATCAGTGCCTGCAGCAACAGCAGCAGCAGCAGTAGCAGCAGCAGCATAGCAATGGGTGACATTACCTGTTTGGAGATTTAACGTGCGCTTTCCGACTGATGCATATTTCGCACCTGTTGCCTTGTGGTTGATTATTTGATGAGACCAGTCTGTGCAGTGATGCGTTCATCATAATGGTGGCATATTTGCTTGTCAGGTATGTCAGGCATGTGTCATTCTCCCTCTACATTGGCTCCACTCACCATCTGCTTCACTCCACATCCCGAGCTCCGTGGGGAGCCACAGCAGACTGAATCAGACCTTTTCTTGGTCAAGTGATCATGGGTTAGGAAGCAGAAGTATGGGCAGAGGGTCCATATTGTTTATTGTCAATGACCTGAGCACACTGGCAATGTGGCCTTGCTGTCTCACGTATATGTACACAAAGGAGCATGAAGCGTGTGTTGCTTAAATGTTCCCTAAGTTTCAGATGTTGTGAGTTATGTGGATAGTATTAAGTGGTTTGTTTGTTTTGGAGGATGAATGATTCTTGAGGTAAGCATGTAGCAATCTCTTTAAAATCAGATCTAAGTTCTCGCTGCCGCTAAACAAAGCTTTGAGGACATCCCATTATGGGTCACGTCAGAATTACCTTTAGCGAACTTTGACCGACCACCGAAACAACAAAAAAGAAGTCGACATCAGCCAATTAGATAGCAGCTTTCTCGAGCTTTACGGCACTCGTTTCAACTTGGCGACTTCCATTTTCAGACAACGTTTGAAAAATATGTTGAAGCAGTTCTTGATTAAAATTCCCAAGGAAGCAAGAGATAGACAATAATTTTGACGGAATCAGTCGTACGGGCCATAACTGTCGTTCGGAATACCCCATGTTAACGTTTTCAAGGTTGCATGATTAGAATACACATTCCGACTCACTTTCATGACCTAGTAAGCGACGCTTTGATTGGTCAGATGAAAGGTAGTTCTGACGTGTACTTTATGGGATGTCCTCATATCTTTGTTTAGCAATAGCCAGAACTAAGATCTGATTTTAATGATTTTGATTCAATCAGTGCACTCGGCATTTGGCATCCAATCAAAGGTTTTCCACTAGATAACTGTCATACTGGGACTGGGACGGGTAACTCGGGTACTCGGGTCGGGTGGGTCCTGAGAAAGAACCAGGTACTCGAGTTACCCGTCATGTGATATATTGTTTGATGACAATGACAATCTAACTCCATGTTACACAACAAGTCGCTAAATGTTCGCATTTCCTTCTAACTATGCACGCATTGCTTCTGACGTTTATATGTTTGCGTAAAGATAAAGCTTCGGTCAGCTCCATGTATGCATGAACAGATTGCTTAAGGCATGTGGCTAAGTATTTTTTGCCAGGGCTCCTGTTAAACAATTCTCAGTTGGACATTTTGTAGCCAACTTGAGACCTACAGGGGGTATTCGGGTAGTGTCGGGTAATAGGGGATCGGGTACCCGGGAAGTAACAGCCCGATGACATACCTTGCCCAAAGATTCTTCGTTTCTACCACAAGCTGTGGAAGAGAAGTGATTGCCTTTTTTTCATTTTCATGATTCAGCTATTCAGAAATACATTAAGGCCAAACCTTTAGATTTTTGGGTTTATAGATCCATTTGGGAAAAATCTGGTTTGGTAGGTGGAAAAAAATAAATGAAAGACATTTCAATTTTATTTTTTTCAAGTAAAGGTTATCTGAGTATGTCTCGTCGGTCTCCTGTCTCATCAGTCTTGCCGTTTAACTTGTTGAATGCACAATTATTTTCCCTGATCCACAGATAAGTTGCATTCGACAGAGATTGTTGCTCTTCAGATTTATTTATTTTTAACTTTTCATTATTTTAGGTATGTGCATTCAGCCACGGATACCCGGAAAATTGTTGATGCAGTGTAAGACAATTTTAAGTCATTTATTCAGTAAACCAAGTTAAGAAAAGATGCATTATCAAGAAAGTGTTCACTATGAGTACACGGTCAATTTGTTTGGGACTATATACTATGTTCCACCTTATACAAACAGAGTACCAGTTTCTATTATTGTATACAGTGTAATGCATTTTGCCTCATAATAGACAGATAGTATAGATATGTATGTATAAATAAAATAAATACAGGACAAGAATATGTCACTTACCCTAGATATACCTACATATTTTGCCCTTATTGGTGCGTTCCTGATGTGAGAAGTCTCAAATTGCTCAAGCTTGTATTTCAGTAGCCATGCTTGTCTGCAGGATGACGCTACCACTGTCCATTGTTTGAACAACCAGTCAAATGCCATTTTATACAGTTACATTTTGATGTGATATTTTTTAATAATAATATTTACATGTGATCTTATTCGGATTTACTTTTATTGCAGTTAGCAAATCAACTTGTATAATATATATATTTTTACTTCACAGTTTGACAAACATTGGATTTTATTTTTGAAATTTTAATATGAGAATCTCAGTATGTCTAACATAAGCACAGAGTTTTGTATTTTAGTGGTTACGTGGTTCCCGAATTGCAAAATTTAAAAAAATCAAATACATAATGTGTGATTGAAAATAGAGATCAACTATTTGTTGGTACTCTTCTAAAAAGTACTTTCTCATATAGGAACGTCACTTTAACCCTGATAATAAGATTTCAGCCATATGTGTACCCCGGTATTAACCAATTTCATGAGAACATCTATAAAATAAGAAAAAAATAAATAATTTTAATTGTTTTTATTCATTCCAGAGGGTACATAGTCATCATATCATAGGAGGCATCAAATTACATGTTAATTATAATGAGAAAAATGTACAGGAAGTGATATGACAGTAAGTTCACCTTTGATACATTGTAATAATTGTAAGAGATATAGATTAAGGAAGCTAATCCGTCTGCGTTATGGTTTTCTCAATTAAACTCCATTTTTAAGTGAAAGAAATTATTGTCCCGTTTCATTTTGCAAGGAACAATTCGACATGGTAAATATCTTTCAGTATATTTCTGTATGACTTAAGATATGATTTTACTCCTTTAATATGTGTTACGTAAATGTGTCTTTTTGCAAATATCAATAAGTGATTTAATAAGATGTTGTTTGTATGTCCAAAATAGATATCTTGTTTTGTAATGAAAACATGTCCGAAAATAACATTTATGAAAGCATTAAATTCGTCCCAGAATTCTTTAACACAAAAACATTCTAAATATACATGAGCGATGTTTAAAACCAAGAAAATAGTTAGGTCTGGTACTCAATAAGCCTCTCGTCTTTCTTCCTGGGGGGGCACGGGTGTCCCAGTCGTCTAAGGCGCCGCGATTCGCTGTGCAGAGTTGCATCCCTTGAGCGCGACAGAAACCTATGATTGTTGGTTCGAATCCTGGTTCGCCCCGATTATGTTTCTAGGTTTGTCAGCACCATACCCATGCTCGTGGATTTCACCGAAGTGGTAAACGTCTGAGACCTACATCACTTCGGACTTTCCTCCATCATTAAGCTGACACGCTGTGATATAACTGGAATACAAATAAAAAAGCGGCGTTAATCCCAACTCACTCACTCTTTCTTCCTGAGGTTAGCCCTGAATGTAGCTGGAATAGTGCGGCATTAAACAACAAATAAACAGCATGAGATTAACAGAGTTGTTTCATCTGTCTGTTTATGAACTTATTTTTTTAATGCCGCACTCCCTGATCTTAGAAACCACCTGTGACATCATCTGTTGAAGATATTTGTATAATGACCTCAGATGATTTGTAATGACAGCTTCAACTATATTACAGAATGAAGTCGTCACAAACTTATGTTAACCTGAACCTCAGCTGAAGTAGTTTTTTTTATGAACTTTTTCATAACATGTATTTCCGCTGTTTTACCCGAAACATATTTTTTAAATAGTTCCCAATCCTTTGATTCAAACCCAAATACCACATGGCATTTACTTTGTTTGCAGCTGAAAGTTTTTGAAGCCATGTTGTGAAATTTAGAAATTATAATTTGGAATATGTAATAAAATGTTTATTGGTTTAGGTTTATTTTGTTTATGTAAATTGATCATTAACTGAAATGTGCAGTCACATCTGAATGGTTTTATATAAATACTAATTGTCTTGTATATTTATGAAAAGAATGTCTGTGTGCTCGTAGTTGTCATGAGTATTCGTATTAAGTATTAGTTATTTATGTTTAAATTACTTTGAACCATGTTTTTTGTGACTTTAACTCTGTGCGCTGTGAACTTGTCTTCGATGTTCAGTTTCTCACACAATACAAATTGTCTTGTTATTATTTTTGTTATATTGAGAATAGTGTTGCATGTGTGAAATTGACTAGGTTTTGAATCCACTTGTGCAGTGGCGGAACAAACCAGAACTGTATATACATTAACGTTGGTTGGTTGGTTTGTTGTTTTATGAGGCACTCAGCAATATTCCAGCTATATGACCGCGGTCTTTGAATAATCGAGTCTGGGCCAGACAATCCAGTGATTGATATCATGAGCATCGATCCACACAATTCGGATCGATGACCTGCATCAACCAAGTCAGCGAGCCTGACCACCCGATCCCGTTAGTCGCCTTTTACAACAAGCATAGTCGCCTTTTACAGCAAGCATGGGTTGCTGAAGACCTATTCTGCCCCGGATCTTCACGGGCCATATACATTGACGCGTCACTTCACACGGGATTTAAAATCCCAAGTATGATAGTGGGAATTTTGTTTAATCTCCCTCCAACACCCACTCAGGTGTCTGGACCTGATTGTTAGAATTGATTTTATTGTGTGCTGTGTAACACAATGGAATGTTGCGACCAACTTTGCATGTTAACTGCAATGGGGCTTATAGCAATATTATTATTGTTATAAAACAATCAATTATCATTTTAAAATTGGAATTGTTTTCCTATGTAAGATGTAGTTTATGTACTATGAAGAGATGTATGTATTAATTCATTTCAAAATAATAACTGGTTTAAGTCCTGTTTGTGATGTAAATAATACAGTGTATTTTCTTTATGTATGTATTGACAGCTTTGTAAGGATAACTTGAATGCAAGTAAAACATTTATTTTTTGTAAATACATATTTTACAATCAATGGAAGTTTGTTTTCTTTCATCACTGTAGATGTTTCTTATTCATATGACAGTAGCCCAGTTGAAAGTGTGTTCTCTTTTTACACAGAGGTCTGGGGTTTGATTCTAATGATAACTGCAATTTTTCTTGTCACTGTGATTGGCTGCATTAATAACAGAATTTGGTCACGAAGATTATTAAGGCATCAATACTGTTTTTGTAATGCTATAGCAGTGTCCCAAGGGAAAGAAAAATCCATAAAGGGAATCAAAACCTACCTTCGATGAATGGACACTTTTACCACCAGGTTACTGGATGTGCCAGTGGAGTAGGTTACCTCCCTTACCTGCACTGGCTGATGGGTAATGAAGACGTTTGAAATCCGCACACATTTGAGGCATAGAACTATCACCTCCTTGATGTTATTTTATTCCACAAATACCGATGATGAAATCCTACCAGGCCCCTTTATTTCAGAATGGTTTTATTTTGAATTAAGAGTATGACGCGGCCTGGGATCGAACCACCGACCACAGGAGTCCGTATCTAAAAATAGACGCCCTCATGCATATTCATGACCATCTCCACACGCGAGCCCGAAGGGTCATGAATATGCATGAGGGCGTCTATTTTTAGATACGGACTCCTGTGCACCGACCTACCGGTCCGCTCCCCGGGTTCTTTCCACTGGACCAAAAACCTAATTTTTTCCAGAAAAATATAAATATTGTTAGGTTTTACAAAAATAAAATAATATATTTCACCTGATGTTCTGTAAAGAATGTGCTGTGAAACAAATGAAATTGTTCTGATCCTCAATTCAAAAAAAAATAATCGTGTTTTTAACTAGTGACTGAAACAATTAATAGTCTCTAGTCTCCAACAAAATTCCAAGCCCCCCCCACCCCCCCGAATATTCAATGGTGGACCCCTTGTCCTTTATTCCGACGTCATTAAGTTTGAATTTTCGTCTCGTATGTCCACGTGTTTTTTACAGTTTACTTTGCTGTCAAAGCAGCGTTAGACCCTTTCGTTCTATCAGTCACTAAATTCAGTTTTAAAAAATGGCAGATACGCCAAGACAACACCAAATACAGATACAGGTAGTGCGGGCATAAATGTCATATTGACACAACGTCCCTCCATACCCATAAAGGGCTGTGATGCTGTGGGGTTAAAACCCAACTCCCGCAATCATTCTTCCACTTATATGACGTAATTTAATAACTAACGTAGATTTAATGTTAAAATGTAGCCTGCAACCTCGGGGTATCGCGATACTTGTCATGTACGTACGCTAATCGAAACAAAATGCACTCACTAACCTTTATGATTATTCGTGTTCTCCATATCAGATATCATTTATTTTATCAAACAATGCATATTTCACTGATAAAAGTTCATTATTTACATTAGTAGCTCCGAGTAAAAGCCGGGCCTCGCGCTCTGTTTGACAAGGGAGAGAACTCCATCGTATCATGGTACAGAGAAAAGTTGTGTATGGAGGTCCGAATTGGACAAAAAGAGGACATAATTCTACCAACCACTTGGTATGATCATGCCAGACATCAGTGATTTGTCCAGACAAGTGCAAAGACAGCACAAGTAAAATTCTAAATGTGTTATCAGCAATAGGTATTCAATGCATATTTACCGAAAAGTAAGAGAAAAATATTTTTATAAGTCAACAACAAAATATCAGAAATTATATTCTAAGATTGTTTCTAAAATAAATTGGATGACAATAATTTGTCACAAAATGGAAAAATGTTAAAAGTCAACAATAAATATATAAAAAACACTCCTAGTATGCCCAAAGTATGTATTTATATTTTGGCTACTAGTGGAGAACGTATTTCTAAATTTGGCATTATGGCCCTTATGATCTCCAAATAGATTCTGGGCACAGAGCGGGAAAAATGTGCGGATTACGTACTTCCGTTACCTTATTAGTCGCCATAAATATGCAGATGATCTAGTTTAGGTCGATAGAGAAAGTTTACTTGGGGAACTGCGGGTTATATCGTTGGCCATTGACAGATGGGGGTAAGGCAATATTAAAAAAGATGCCAGAAGTATGTATCAACAATTAATAACTCCTTACTTACAGCAGACGGAACATTTCGAGGAAATTGAAATTGTTTACGAAGTGAGCCATTCCTGGTTACTCATTTGCATTAATAAACAGCCGCTAAGAGGCGTGTCCCGCGTGAACTATCGGAAATCACAAATGCCGCGATACGATGAATGCCGCGGTACCACGGGGTCCGAGTATATATGTTACAGTTAAAACGGATAAGCAGTTATAATGTATAATACCTGAAATTTTCTAAAATAGAGTGGAGTACATTTCTATGTTATCTTAGGAATTACCCAAACAAAGCTTCAATAATCACCCCAGTCAAATATGAGACAGTCAAATCTTGATGTTCAGCAGATTTCTAAAATGGATTTTGATGTTTAAGCAACCTCTCGTCGGCAACTAAACACGAGCTATGCATTGTTTGTTGCTTAACGCCACACTCAAGGGGTCTGTAAATATTTGAGTCTTTACCAGACAATTCAGTGATTGATATCATGAGCATACGATAACATGCATCAACCAAGTCAGCGAACCTGACCACCCCATCCCGTCAGTCGCCTCTCACAAGCATAGTCGCCTAAAAATATACGACTATACGACAAGCCCCAGCAAATTTGATTGATGTTGAAACACATCGTCAATACTGCACATATTTTGTATACACTACGTTCCTCCATCACGGTAGGGGGGCACGGGTGGCCCAGTCGTCTAAGGCGCCGCGATTCGCTGTACAGAGTTGCGTCCCTAGGGCACGCCAGAAACCTATGATTGTGGGTTCGAATCCCGGTTCGCCCCAATTATCTTTCTAGGTTTGTCAGCACCATACCCGTGCTCGTGGGTTTCGCCGAAGTGGTAAACGTCTTATATCTGCATCACTTCGGGCTTTCCTCCCACATTAAGCTGACACGCCGTGATATAACTGGAATAATGTTAAAAGCGGCGTTAAACCCAACTCACTCACTCTCTCCATCACGGTAGATATAATTTAAACCCGTAGATGTATTGTAGATGTTCAACAACACATTGATTGTCTTTTAACTCTAAAAACCTATGAGTAAGGTTGCAAACCGTGGGATTCGGGGTCTATTTAGAGGGTATTCTAGACTCCGCATTTTGGATATGCGGGACGCAAAAATTATCGTATTTGGTACGCATATTGAAGGTGTATGTAAATTCCTTTATAAAAAACTTTATATTATATTTTTTCGATAATTGTATCAGTAATTTAACTTTTCTCAGTGTTTTGGGATTTATGTTAAGTATTATTCGGGATTTAGGGGTGGGCAATGAGACTCATACCCCGTTCACATGCACAACATTTCCTAACGTAAGTAACTATACACTATACATACGTGAGTATATGTAAATTTACTATGCCTTCACATGAAAAGCATCTTAGGTGTGAAAATAAAGTATATAAATTGTGTAAGGCACACATATTCGTCAGCCTGTTCACGACTTTCAACACAAAAAAGGTTGTTTTCCAATCAAAGTTGAATGAGAAGAGAGTTACTTCACCGAATATTTTCGCGTGGAGCAACACGTGTTTGATTTAATCTGTACACAAAGTTTTGACTCATTGAAACCAAAAGAAAACACTGTCCGCTCAACTCTGTATATACGCATAAAAGTTGGCAACTGTTGACAATTTGTTGGCAAAAGAACAGATATTAATTAGATGAAAAATAGTATGGTAACCGGGTGTCAGGGTATGTGTAGGCTGGCGTCCTCATGAATACCCTAATTACTTAGAGACAAATGGCTCAGTTTCACAAAAAATCCTTATTACAAAGTCTAGGCGTAGACTGAATATGGATAAGATACCACGGAGCATATTCACTCTTTCAGTCATCCCGAACTCTCTCCTCTAAGGATACCGCACGGTAACTGGACATTCGTTTCAAGTAATTTATGAGATGACGAATATCATTATCTGTAACGAATACTGCGTAAGCAGATTTGAAATACAGCCTGAAAGTTAAATAAATAAATAAATAAGCTGCACAGAAATTCCATACAGTAATACATGAGAATCTTTAACTTCTTGCTTCGATATCCGTGCTGCATTTGAACTAACCCGTATATATATGTATATATATAAAACTCTTGAAAATATTCAAAGACTCTTGAAAATCACATGCGTGAAACCGGTTGAGTAAATTATACAGCTCATCTTTGGACTTTTGTATTTTATCTATCTATCTATCTATCTATCTATCTATCTATCTATCTATCTATCTATCTATCTATCTATCTATCTATCTATCTATCTATCTATCTATCTATCTATCTAATTTTGCACGACTTGATCGTTGTAGCCAGGACATTCGTAATGCACGTGCTTAAAATTAATGCATGAGCTTAAATTTGTATTGCATAAAATAGGTCAGTAGTCATTTAGTTACACGAAATCTGCAGTTGAAACAACAGAGTGGCGTCATAACTGTATTTTAAACACACAAACAGCTCATTTTGTAACTCTTCGGAGCGATGAGGTTTTTGAACCTGAACTATGGAAGCCAAGAGGGACATTGTCGCGTTGTCGGTGGCAAGATGAACAAAAGAGCGACGACGGTTTTATAACCACAGACCGAAGAAAAGGTAATATTTATTACGTCCCCCCCCCCCCCCCCCCTCCACCTTCCCGGCTACGGCCTTGGTGATTTAACCAGTTGTCGCATTGTTAGACTCCGATCTTTTTAAAGATAAGATAAGATAATATTTTAAATATTTTTAAATGTCCCGTCTAGTATTCCATACTAACCCGATCAACCAGTCAACACAACACATAAAAGGAACTATCCATTGCCGTGTACTTTTCGTGCTCTCTGTACAATGTCTGGCGATGGGGGTCATTAACCCTTTACGCTACATTGCGAATACTTTTCTATAGCACGATACAAAGACTCGCATATATACACGTTTTATTCCTAATTTATATCTACGACCTTATTTATAACATACCTCCTGCTGATAATCTTTATCTTTATGTACTTGGCCAGAGACGTTGAAAATTTCGATGTCTATCTCATCTTGTAGTCGTCAGAGTGTTTGAAACTTAAGACTTTGCAAGAGGCACATAAATAAACGCGATCCACGGTGACGAGGTGGTTAACTAGACTATAGTGTTACCAACACGTCAATCTCTCCATCACCCACGGGGGCATACATAAACTTATTGTCACGCAGGACTGACGACATATGGTTTATAGGTCACTTGAACAAACAGTCACGTATCAAACATGGTGTTCACAACGTTGACTTTCTTGGCGTCAGCTTTGATGATTGTATATTTGTTATTTAAAAGCTGGACGAACAAGGCTTCAAAACCGCTACCCCCGGGACCACGAGGGGTAGCTGCGTTGCTCACCTTTCTGAAAGCAGCAAGGAATACCACTGTGCACTTCTATTCCGAAACGTGGGCCAAACAGTACGGAGATATAGTTTCAATCACTCTCTTCAATCGGACGTTGTGTTTTGTCAATGAAGTCAAATTGGCAAAGCAACTTCTATGTGACAATGGGTATAAAGCTTATACTAACGACAGGCCGAAATCCTTTGTATCTAGTTTCATTTTCAAAGGACGTAGCCTGGCATTTAGCCCGGCCGGGATGCATCACACGACGATGAGAAAGACCTTCCACAACTCTCTGAGGCTTTATGGGGATGGAATTCAAGCCTTTGAAGATACCATTATGGATGAACTTCAGAACCTCGTTGTGGAGATGAACTCTCAGCCGGAATTTCAATTAGAGGAAGTTATTGGCACTTCCCTATTGAATGTTATCTATATTTTGGTAAGTATACATGAAGTAATTGTCTGTTTCTTGCATTCAGAAATCGAACCTTGGTTTCTAGCGTGGGAGGGATCGTATACGAACCAGGGAGGCCCGTTTCACAAAGCGGCTTTTGCACTGCGGGTATTCCTCAGTGTAAACATACGATAGTCGTAGCACTAAGGTCGCTTTGTGAAACGAGTCCGAGGGGTTTCATGTCTTCGCTCGTCACACGGGAAACCCAGGTTCGATTCCTGAAGAGTGTTCTATGTTTAATCTTGGTATGTTCTATCTCGATATGACTGGAACATTTTCTTGCTGGAAATCATACTCACTTGTTATAAAAAATAATGATCATTTCACAATAATTCCAAGTACAACGATTATTGTGTATTATTCTACCATTCTCTGATCCTCGATTATCCAGTTTATTATGTCTCCATTCTATTGGGATAAATACCCTGGATCCACTCGCTTCCATAGATTCGTTTAGGAAGTGACGTCACAATCTCCATCAGTTATAGTAACAAAATTTATTTTGCTCACCAGTGTAATTTGATTGGACGCCTCTTTTTAGCGTTGCGTATTTCGTATCAGACTCAAAGCGTAGCTATCGTAGCGAATGGAGTATTTATCTCAATATATGGAGATATATTACACCTCAAGGGCGGATCCAGCATTTTTAGAACGGAGGGGTCCAAAATTCCTCTCTCAGTTGGTTGTCAACATAATACTACATTTGGTTGTCGACATAATACTACAGTTGGTTGTCAGCATAATGCTACAATTGGTTGTCAACATAATACTACAGTTGGTTCTCAAAACTTAGACGCCCCCACTCCACCCCCTCTGGACCCTCCTGTGCACCTCGTATATGTTGTGTTTGTTTTTTTATGGCCGATGAGGCGTTTGTGCCACGGCTCCGTATTAGGCCTGTGATTATCACCAATACAATGAAGGGAATCAAGAGAAGCTTGTTCAACACAATCTTTCCCTAAAAGTTCCCTACATTACTAATACAAATGTTGTAATTCAACTGTCACCATGAGTGAGTGAGTTAAATTAAGGTCACATCGGCAATATTTCACCCATATTAGAACAAAGTTACATTAATCAGTACTAAACTTCTTCTCGCCACATTTACATACACCCTTAGCGGTATTTCATCCATTTTTGCCGAAAAAATAAGATGTCTAAGATACCAATAAACAATTGTGTATTATGCGAAACTTTAAAAAAAAATTAAAAAATATCAAATTATAGTAACAGTTAAAAAGTAAAACTATTTTGAAGAATTGTTTGAATCCTAGTGCACAAAGTGCTAGTAATTTTCAGGCAGTGAAAATGGCATCTGCAATTGACCCGCTTCTTTCTTAACAGCTGACAGACAAAAGGCCGAATGATGGCGGAAACACGGTGAGAGCTATGATAGCAAACAATGACATCATTAACGAGATGGCCTCTCTTGAAATCGACCAATCACTGACCTCGATGCCGTTTCTACGTCATGTGCCGGGGCCATTTAAAACTACCTGTGATAGGGCGCACTCTCGAACAGAGCACTTGTTGCATGTTGTGTTCGATGCTATGAAGGTATGTGTTGTTATTTGAAACTTTTAGAATTAACTTTCATCAGTTTGAATCCAAAACTTAGAGCCTAAACCGATGGATATGGCATCAACTCATGTTTTAGGGCTCTGAGTGTTATTTAATTTTGGATTGTTTGCTGGATGTACATGTTTCCACTGGTAGCTTAAGGGATGTGACATATCTTGTTCATCCGTCAGGTTCCGGGGTATAATTGGTCTTCAGCAGCCCGTGCTTGTCGTAGTAAGAGGCGACTAACGGGATGGGGTGGTCAGGCTCGCTGACTTGGTTGATGCAAACTGCGTAGATCGGGGTTCTGATTAAATTTACAATTAAACAAAAAACAACAACAGACAACAAACAAACAATATAACATATCCTTTTAGGGATGCAGGAAATTGGGGGTATTATAAGGGATACATATTTGTATGTGTGGGGTGGGATGGGACCGACTATTATCATGTAATGTTTTCGGTAACCGCTGCAAGACACAGACTTTTACTCTCTGAAAGAACGAGCTCAAGCAAGTTTTCGGACCCACAACTCATTTTATAGCAGGACTTGTCAATCATTTATGCGGGTTTGAACCCGAAGCCAAATTATTCTTCATGTCTTTTCTGGAGCAAACAAATGATACAGATTTTATCACGTTCATATTACAGGAATCTTATATACCTGGACGGTCTAAAGGGCTGATCCATGCTGCCATGGAATCCAATATGGCGGATGAAGACATCCGGTTGCTGATTCTTGAGATTATCGCTGCTGGTAAAACACACCTGAACCCAATGTTTTGTTCAGAGCAATGAAACATGTTCAAGATCCCACTGAGGATCAAAGATAATAATGTAATTCATTCTCACTTAAAATACCCAGAAATTAACTGCCGGGCAAAAGAAAGTATACACGCAGAAATTGGATTTCACCCGAAAAAATCACACGTTACTGGGCTGAAAACAATCACGGAAACACTGCAAACTTAAGGTACAAAATACAGTTTATGATACCCGTATCTACGGTGGTCCATAAGGAACATGGAGTCTGTTTTTCAATATTTTGATGTTTCACTTACTTTTATCGTAATTTGTCATACAAATATGTGATGAATCATGTATAAAAACCAATCAAAAACATGGAAAATGAACTTTAAAGTAGCTATTGACCTTTTTCACACTTTCGCCATCTTGGATCGAAAACGAGGCTTGGAGAGCATAGCTCCATGCAGTGAGAGTCGCATCAGCTCATAGGGAACAGACAGCATGTTGTGCATTTCACTGATGGACATTTCAAACAAACCAAAAATGGTATCCTCTGTATCTAATACATTAAATCATAAGGTCCAACTAAAATATGCCTGTAATACACTGGAATTAGCATTTTGCTTTCAGGATCCCGGAAGTGAATCGAAAGGTGCATTTCGAGATACGTATTTCAGAAATAGATTGTTTTATCATAACCTTGTCGGCATATAGGTACAGTGTGACAGTACATTCAATGACAGAAGTTTTGTATCGTAAATAATCCGCATGACGTGAAACGCGTCAATGTACTTTTGCAAAATTGCTCAGTCAATGCGTGGCTTGGCGAACTCTAGATCAAGATTGAGATCATGTTTATTTCACGTTTCATAGTGGTGTTTGCTGCACAACGCACTATCGTTTTGCCAGGAGTCCAGTTGACAAAAGACACTTTTTCTGCTATGATTTTCATTTTAACATATTACAATGTTTATTATGAAAATAATTCGGGTGTCAAAATAAATATTCAGAAGGGGCGATAACTCTATTCAGTGTGTACAATGACAGATGATACTTTACTTGTTCTTCAAACATCACTTACTTAACTGATTATTGCAGATTGAGATTGCTCCGTGCACAACAAAAGTAATAATGTGTGAACTGTTTTAAATAAGTTAAAAGGAAACTAAAAATTGATAAATATAAATAATGCATGAACTTCTTGAACACCCTCACCTAATCCTGTATGATGATAGGTAATTGTATATCAAAAGGAAGCTACTAATACATTTATCCTGAATAGTTTGAAAATGTCTTGATCAGATACGAGTACCGTATTTTCTTGAGTATAGTGCGCACTTTTTTTCGAAAAAACACAGCTGTGTAGAAGGGGGTGCGCAGTATACACGAATTATGAGTTTGGATGTTTTTTCCCCCCATGGAAAGACATTACTGTGAGCACGAAACACCGGGAATACCATGTCAACAAATCCATACTGAAGTACGCAAAATAATTATGTAATTACACTGTCTGGCTATAAAAAGTGTTCTTTGTATATCTGGACTTATGTTTGTAACTTATTTCATTGATTTTATTCAAAATTCCTTATAATATTGTTTTTATAAATTTCGGCGAAATCGTGTGTGAAGCGATCGGAAGATCGCACAACTCACCGTTATTAACAGCAACCACGGTCAGAATACCGCTATTGACGCCTTGAAACAAACTTTAGTTGACAGAGAATGGATACATATATCATAAATGACATACTTTGACTCGTTAAAAGTCATATTTGTTTTTGTTTGACGATTCTATGTCAACATGAAATTCTCGCTATCACGTGATTACGTGCGCGTGAGCCTTGACGGTGACTGGTCAGACATGTTCCATGTAAAAAATAATACCCGGGAATAGCGATCAGCTGCTTCGCTTAGGGTTATTATTATTTTAAATATGTTTAGTAAAGGTTGCATATAACTAAGAAAATAATGGAATATATTATTCCTGATAAATAAAATAGTTTCAGATACAATTGTTGCCGATCCTTGCATTAAAAATCTTATAAAGTTATATCATTGGGTGTGTCTTGACCGAATCACCGGTCGATTCCAAGAAAACGTGTGTACAGCTGATTGCTGTTTCCAGCTTAGTTTACGAGAAAATACGCAAGGTAATCTTAATCCCTAAATATAAAACAATGCCTAGCAGAACAATAAATACTATTTAAACGGTAAATAAACATGTCTGGTGATTTTTTATCTCGAATTTCGAATTTGTACTGACAAGTTTCTCAGCACCCGTTCGTTTGCCGGACTTCGCTGAAAGGGTACGGTGTAAAAAAATTCTGCGCATAATATTCAAATTTCTTTTTTTCCAAAATATTGAACCCGCTAGAGGGGGGTGCGCATTATACATGGGTGCGCACTATACTCAAGAAAATACGGTACAGATAAAATAACAAAAGGAATCAACTTCAGTTGGTAATCAAGCCCAGATAAAATATATGTATCGGTACAAAATATGTTGATGGAACAATCTGGATTTCTCATATTTAACAAAGAAAAAACAAACCAAAATTTTCATATCTTTATTTCTCACAATATAAGTTTTCAAAACTTAACATGGACTGGGTGTCTTTGTCAGTCAAAAGCACCTAATTAAATACCAGGAGAAAAAAAATTTCTTGCTTGTAAACAAATGGTACAATGTGCTTTTTCAGTGTCCGATATATATTGGCCATGTTGATTTGTGAGTGAATAAGGCTTTTCACTGCCTCATCCTATTTAAGTGTGACAGGAAGCACATTTGTTGATTGAATGAATATGGCTTTTCACTTCCTCGTCCTTTGACAGGATGCACATTGTAACCATTGTGTTACTGTCAGCAGAAAGCTCCTCCAGACATCCGTCACCGGATACTAGTACTTCATCGTGTTGACTCGCTGGCCTGAAATGAATAATTCAATAATATTGTAATAGTGAGTGTGTATGGTTTTACGCCGCTTTTAGCAATATTCCAGCAATATCACGGCTGGGGACACCAGAAATGGGCTTCACACATTGTACCCATGTCGGGAATCGAACCCGGGTCTTCGGCGTGACGAGCGAACGCTTTAACCACTAGGCTACCCGACCCCCCAATATTGTAATAATATTCCTACTTCAATAACATTTTTTTTTTTATAAACAATGGATATTCACCTTCTCTCATAATATTGCTTATTTAGAAAACAACATTCTTCTGAAATAGAGAAGTTTAAGGAAAATTAATCACAGTGTGTGAGATTACATGCTACTTTAGAACAATCTTGAAGGCATCAATTCATCTGATATGTCGAAAACTCAAACAGTATATTCTGTTTAAACGGTAAACTCCACAGATGCATCAATTTAATGACAGTGTACTACAGCTCTTTATATCAATGTCACACAGAAATTCACTCTTGTTTTAATGAAACACGTTTTGATATTTGTATTACCGGTATGTATTTAATCATGAAATACTTTATTTAGACTGACCATGCTGAAAACATACTTTCGCTAGAGTGAAATAAATAAGATTTTTATTAAAATCAGGTGAAATATCACGTTTTGTCACACCTACAGTCAGTCTGCCTCATTGACACTATGGTTTTCTGAGTAAGGTCATGAAGATCACAAAGAAAAAATAAGACTTGAATTTATTTTGTCAAATGCAATGTTTATCTCTTCATGTGGTTTACTAAAGTTGATATCTTGACTTGAAAATATTAACTTTGTCAGATCACAAGATGAAATATTATTAAATATATTTTATTGTCCAAAAAGACAAAGGGCAGCACTTATTACCGCCTCCCTATCTCCCTATATACAGTTATACATAATATTGCATAATGAAAATGAACAATTTACAGTTGAAGCTTCACATTGTGGAAACATAGTGCACAATATATATACAGTGCTCATATGAAGGATATGTACAATGTGCTGGAAAGTGAAGACAGTGTGCATCTCATACATATCCTAATATTATACATTTTAGTGTTGAATATAGATTTAACAATATTATTGATTAACAGTTTGGAAACAATAATATGCTAGCTACTGAATCTGTTAGTCGTTTCTATAAATTTGTGTACAGACAAGAATATTTTTGTATTCAGGAAAACATCTAAGTTTGGATCACCAAAAAGAATACTATGTAGGGTTTTTTGTCCTCAAAGATTATCGATAGCTGTCAGTATTGTCTCCCTAAAATCATCATATAAGGTACATTCGAAGAAGAAATGGAATGAATTTTCAAAAGGAGCATGCTGTACAAGGAGCATGAGATAAATTCATGCTATCATCGTTATTTGACAAGGAAAACATATTTCTTCTATGTATTTATATTTTTTTATTTTTCTCGTTTTGATTGAATTATAAAAAAATATCAAAATGATCACACCACTTGACTTGATTGAAATAAACTAAGATTGATAACAATAGTAAAATATTACATCATAACAATATAATTATTGCAAAATGACACAGTAAGCACAACTATATTCTTATATATAAATTGAAATGATTAATAATCAATAATACATGGCAATTGCTTGCACAAAAGACATCTTTTTGTTTCAAAAGTTTCAAAACATGTTTGTGGACATAAAACCAGATGGGTATCACAATTAAACAAAGGGAAGAAATGAGTTATGATTGCAATACACATGGGAATTAAAAATAATTCTTTTTTATACTTTAAGTTTTTAGTAATGTCAATATCAATTTATGCATTTGAAATATTTGAATACAAACTGTTAAAGAGTTATCTGTTTCTGTAAATTATATAAAGATCACATGTAGATTGAACATTTACTGGACATTAATTAGTTGGGTTTTTGTTCATTTCATGACATGATTAAATTCGTACAGTAAAGTAAATATCCTTTTGGTAGAAATATTAATTGTTACCAAAATTGCAGATCAAACTGTACTTTACTTTAAATATTTACACACCCTTTATGTTATAATTCAGTTGAAATATTACACCTCATGCTATCTAATCTGTCAACATTGACAATCAAAATAACAACTGTTCACAATCACAACAGCACAAGTAGATCTAGAGGTCTAATATTTTATTGGAATGCATTTGAGTCCATTACAATTTACATCAAATACGCAACTGATGCAAACTTCTGATTTGTTACGATTGTAAATTCTCAGTAGGTTACAATTTGATACATTAGCCTATATCAACATATCAATTTAGTTAGTTTCCGACATATATCTAGATATGGTCAAAAGGTCAATATTTCGACTTCAAATACAACCCGCAAAGTTATTTAAACTCACAATAAATAGTTTGGCTTAATGGTGTGTAAACAATGAATTATTCTTTACAAGATTTCAGTAGCATTTGTATTAAGTCTGTTCAGCTACCATAAACTGCACTGGGAGTTACCAGGTGGTCATGGATATTTTAAATTGAAATCACAACAGAACGGCCAGACTCAAATTTATATTGTTAAGGAGACCAGATAACAGTAGAATAGTTTGTCAATAAGAATAATGTTCAATACTTACGATAAATGTACCGGGATGGTTAAATTGTCACAGTTTGTCCCGATTGCGTGCCTTGTTGACATCTCCATGTGTTTCATGTGCCATACAGCCTTCACCTTCCGCTCTCCAAGCCTCGCTTTCAAACCGGAAGTAGCGAAGTGTGAAAAAGGTCAATTGAGTCGCTGAAATGTGAAGCGAAAATGTCAAAAACTAAAATGGAAATGTCAAAAACTAAAATGAAAATGTCAAAAACTAAAATGGAAATGTCAAAAACAAAAGCGAAAATGTCAAAAACTAAAATGAAACCACAGAAAACTATTTCCACCGCGGTGGAAATTGTTTTCTGTATTTTCATTTTAGTTTTTGACATTTTCGCTTTTGTTTTTGACATTTCCATTTTAGTTTTTGACATTTTCATTTTAGTTTTTTAGTTCACTTTTCAGCGATTCAATATCTTCTTTACACATGATTAACCACATATTTGTAAGACAAATCGTGTTAATTTGCAAAAGGTAACGACAAAAGTAAGTGAAATATCAAAATATGGAAAAACAGACTCCATGTCCCTTATGGGCCACCGTACGTATCAACATCGAATAACCATTTCTTGTTTGTGTCATTTTTAGTAACCATTGAACAAGGGTAATATAGTTTCGTTTGCCCGACAGTTTAGAACTATTATATCGTCGAGTAAAACAATGAATAGGATAAAACTACTTGAGTGAGTGAGTGAGTGAGTGAGTGTTGTTTCACTCCCAGCCACATCACTGCAACCTGTAAATAATGGGGTCTAGGCCAGACAAAATCTTTGTTGATCACGCGTAAAGACCATATTTCAACAATCTAGTTTTAACACAAACATGTGTTCATACTGGTGACATCTAATCTATATATTTTTTCAGGATATCTGTCAACTAAAGGATCGTTGATTGGAATCATATTGGCGTTCATAGAGCAACCGGAAATGCAAGAAAAGCTTTACGACCAGATCAAGGTCACTGTCGGCGACAGACGTGTCAAGGTCGAGGACAAAGTTCACCTTCCCTATGTTGATGCCGTGATTCTCGAGTCTATTCGATATTTGTCTCATGGTACCCACGGAGTTCCACACATGGCTACAAAGGAATTGGAAGTGAACGGTTACAGGATCCCAAATCAGGCGATAGTAAGAATCTCTTTCTATCAGATCAGACCATCAGATCCCGTTAGTCGTATAAAGGAATCTGCAGGTCGTTGTAAACTGACAGTCCTCTTGGTTTTACGAGGGTTGGTAAAAAAGTTCTATGCATGACTAACTTTCCACTATGCCATACCAAAATGAACTAGTCAATGTAGTACATTGTTTGAGTAGTTCATTGCATGTGTATTTGGTCTGTTGGGGCTCTTTGTATATTAGTGACAGCCAGTTGAACGTGATAGGGGTCCAAATGGACACATTAATAGAAAAAGTACCGAGTAGTCATTCAGTTTTTGACTGCAGAGAAAAGTCCCCCCCCCCCCCCCCAAAGAAATTCATGACCTAGGTCTGGGCGTCCCTCAGCATCTATCAATGAAGGAGATAGAAAAACTTGACCAGCCCTTGTATATCCTGGATAGTCCAGGGGGGCACGGGTGGCCCAGTCGTCTAAGGCGCCTCGATTCGCTGTGCAGAGTTGCGTCCCTTGTGCACGCCAGAAACCTATGATACTGGGTTCGAATCCCGGTTCGTCCCGATTATGTTTCTAGGTTTGTCAGCACCCGTGCTCGTGGGTTTCACCGAAGTGGTAAACGTCTGAGACATGCATCACTTCGGGCTTTCCTCCCACATTACGCTGACACGCCGTGATATAACTGGAATACTGTTAAAAGCGGCGTTAAACCCAACTCACTCTCTCACTCACTCACTCGATAGTCCAGCGTATTTTATCTCCATGTGTATTTACCACGTCAGAACGGAGATATAACACTCTGGCTAATCGAGGATGGGTGTGATATTTCCCACACTGGATATACTACTGCATTGCTCGAGAGCAGACATTCAAAGTTCATAGGTCTATAAGACAAATATGGTCCACTGTCTAGTACAAATGCCCAGTCGAGGTCTAGACGTAATACTGGAAAGTGAGACTGTGAAATATGGTCTTTACCTGACTGATTGAGCAACACTTATATAATATGAATAGACAGACAAAAATTAAGAGTTTTGGAGGTTGCAAAACAGCGATTTTGACTGTCTCTATGGCCCAGTTGATAGAGATTCTGCCCAGATAGCGGTGGTTCGATTCCCGGAGAGCGGTGATTCGATTCCCGGGCGCGTCATACCGAAACACGATAAAAGATGGGGCATGATGTTACCCTGTCTGGCGCTCGGCATTTCGAGGCTAAGACAAGGACTGGTCGGCTCGGAGTCTGTATACTGCGTCTGAGTTGGGTATTCATGCGCCACGGTATCTCAGTGCGCTATCTATATAAAATCGGCACTAGTTCGGATTAGTACAAACGCGCACGCACGCACGCACGCACGCACGCACGCACGCACACACACACACATATTTGTACCCCACCTTCGAGGTGGCTACATGGAAAATATTTGCCCGCTCCTAAACCAATCAGAAGGTAGTATGTTAATGTTAGGTGGGATGAGATAGTATGCCATGGAATGCAGCTATAATTCTGAATACTCGAGGATACGCTGAGTGTGAAAGAAATATTAGTTTTATTACCTGGAACTATCACTGGCCATTGATGAAAATTACGATACAATTGATGAAATTACGATACGCAATATCAGGTATCGCCTAACATATTTGCCAAATATTTCTTCATTTTCGACTGTGGATAATTAATCATAATACAATTGCAGATTCTGATCAATCTTTGGTATTTAAACCACAACGAGAGTCTCTGGCATGATCCATGGGTGTTTAGACCAGAGCGTTTCCTTGACGACCAGGGCCAACTGCTAGCACCGGAACATCCGATCAGAAAACAGTAAGTAGGGCCAGACATCATGTCATATCTCTGGTAGGACCACGGACACTTAATTACGATTTAGGGTCCATGGTAAGACATACGACTACGGATGTTTAGGGGGCGGTCGGGTAGCCTAGTGGTTAAAGCGTTCGCTCGTCACGCCGAAGACCCGGGTTCGATTCCCGACATGGGTACAATGTGTGAAGCCCATTTCTGGTGTCCCCCGCCGTGATATTGCTGGAATATTGCTAAAAGCGGCGTAAAACCATACTCACTCACTCACTCACTACGGATGTTTAGTCAATCTGATGATATCCGTTCCTCAATATAATAACGCTATAAGATAATGTGGAAAATTAAATGGTGGTTTGATTGATTCTGGTTATCACTAGGCACAAAATACCAAGTCGAAAGTTTGAAAAAAACCGGGGGGGGGGGGGGGGGGGTGTTTGTGCCGCTTCGTCTTGAACAGATTATTCAAAGACATAGAGAATTGTATTGATTGATTAAGGTTAATCGTAAACACTGTCTGATTTTATAGAAAAGTTAACGATGATCCCAGACGGAAGTACACCAAAGGTTTGTTGTTTTTTTGCCTCAGGTTCCTGGCCTTTGGGATAGGAAAGCGGCAATGTCCAGGGGAAGTGTTCGCCAAAACGAGACTCTTCCTGTTTATCACAACTCTTGTCCAGCATTTCAAAATTCTGCCACCAGAGGGCGGGATGACGTCATCTTCCGATCCCCGAACATGGTCTCCAGGAATAATTCTTCAGCCTTTGCCAACTGGATGTAGAGTGGTTCGAAGGGAGACGTGCCCACTTCTGTGACAACCGACGATAGATATTGTATCAGCTACAGCTACAATCCCCTAGGGATTTTATCGAGAAAAATAAATTGTCCCACAAACTTCTTGAATAAAATAATAATGCTTTCAGACTGGAAAAATAAATTGAATGCGACGAAAATTACATTGTTGCAAAATGTTTTTTATTTCTTTTTTGGGGAGGTAGGGTGTGGATACAATCCGGTCTTGTCTTTCAGGGGCAGATACAGCTTTTCGGGGAGAAAATTACAACCCAAAAGATATTTTTGCGCTTTCGCCGCCATTACCTCTTCGCACAAACACGCAGGTCCCGTTCCACAAAGCAATCTTGGCGCCAAGGTGACTGTAACTCCCATACTAAAATAGAGGTTTAAAATCATCGTAACGCTAAGATAGCTTTGTGAAACGGGGCCATATGCCTTTCTAGAAGGATGGAAGCATGAGAGCTTCATATTTTCCTATTTATCAATGTATGTCATCTTTTCGCTGACATTCATGAAATTACAATGAGATAACGTATGCTGAATGCACAGTAATACCCCGTTCACATGCGCCTCTATACATATGTGTGTATATTTGCATACGTGTGTAAAAATACACACGTGAGTATACTTGTCATGTGAACGCGTTTACTCATGTGTGTACTGTATATTTACACCAGGAGTAAATTTGCATCATGTCTGGAGCAGGTTCAAACGTAAATGTAAATTTGCACTGTATGTATATGCTGTAATGTGAACGTTTATGCCAACGTCAGAGGATGATCTAATTAATTTGTCTGTTGATTTGCCAACACCAAACAAATTGTCAACAGCTCTGTATTCTGAATTTGACGCTATTCAGTATACAGCAATACCTACTCCTACGCGGACATCCGGAGCTGGGCGGACGGTGTTTTCTTTGGGTTTCAAGGAGTCAAAACTTTGTGTACAAATTAATTCATGCGAAGATTTCGGTAGAGTAACTCTCTTCTCATTCAACTTTGATTGGTAAACATCCTGTTGTATGTTAAAAAGTTGTGAAAAAACTGATGAATATATGTGCCTCACACCATTTACATATTATATTTACACACATAAGTTGATTTTCATGTGAACGCATAGTAATAAGTATATAGAGGTTATCACGCGAGTGTGTTTGGGGATGGTAAATATCCTGCATTAGGAATAAAGATTGTATTTAGCGAGCCTTGGCGAGCTAAATACATAGTGTTTATTTCTAATGCAGAATATTTACCATCCCCAAACACACAAGCGTGATAACCTCTTTATCATATAATGTCATTCTTTACTTCTGTGTTTGGAAATCGCTTTCCCTCTCTCACAAACATTATATTACCTAAACATTGCGAGTTTTCCTGTAATGCGCGCATTAATATTTATTACGTCACTGGGTAAGTGATGTGTCAGTCGGACAGTGACAGTAGCCAATATAGTTCCAACTGAAATCTGTTTCTTATACAGTAGCGAAGCAACATATATGCAAAACAACAATTGTTTTTACTTGCATTTCGCGGCAATCATTCGGTCTGTCCGCTAGAAGAAACTGCCCTTTGTCAAAGGGAAGCTACTCTAACCCTAGTCGTCACGGCCACGTTCAGACGTTGTTGATAGTCGGTCTGTCCTGTCATAACGTTAAGAAGTGATGTACACACAGCGACAAAACGAAACAAGGTAACATTTCAAACATATTTCGGCCAAATCCAACTATTATAATTTGTTGAAAAGGTTTCAAGCCGCAAAGGTCTACAAGCACAGAGTCAGATATGGCTACTGATCACGTTTTGCTAGGCATAGCGCCCTCGCAAAATTGTTTCGAAATTTATATCTCCAAAGTTGCCAAAACATATAAAATGCCTTAGCGACCTAACAGTTAGACACTGATTTTCAGTATATTAGACTGTTCTTTTGATAATGACAGCAATTATCTCTGTAGTTTATCCAGATTCTCGATGGTTAATTCCGACTCGATTGCCGAATGACAATTATATATGGGCGACGCAATGTTTGTTTATAACCACTGAAAGTAGTCCCTACTTGACCTTTGATATTTGCATCTCTATCCGCATTTGACCCCCAACGGATATCGTTTTATCCGTTAGCTTTATCCTGACGAGAAACCTACCCATTATATGATAAATTTACATATACACACGTATGTATAGTTATACATGTGTAAAATTACTTACGTGAGTAAATGTTGTGCATGTGAAGGGGTATACCTCGCCACTGGTCAGTAAGAGAAATAACACTAATAACACTAATAACACTAATAACACTACACTACACTACACTACATACCCCGTTCACATGCGCCTCTATACATATGTGTATATGTGCGTGCGTGTGTAGAAATACATACGTAAGTATACTTTGTATCATGTCTGGAGCAGGTGCACATGTAAAGGTAAATTTGCACTGTTTGAATATGTTGCAATGTGAACGTTTATGTCAACGTAAGAGGATGATCTAATTAATATCTGTTCTTTTGCCAACACCAAACAAATTGTCAACAGTTGTCAACTTTTATACGTATATACAGAGTTGAGCGGACGGTGGTTATTTTTGGTTTCAAGGAGTCAAAACCTAAATTAAATCAAACACATGTTGCTTCACGCGAAAGTATCTCCCTTCTCATTCAACTTTTATTGGAAAACAACCTGTTTTGTGTTGAAAGTCGTGAACAGACTGACGAATATGTGTGCCTTACACAATTTACATACTTTATTTACACACCTAAATGCTTTTCATGTGAACGCATAGTAAATTTACATATATGTATTTATAGTGTCCTCGTAACTCTCCTCTCCTTAAAAATAATGGACAGCATTTTGGCATACATGCTTAGAACTCGAGAAATATGGGCTGCAGTGAAGCAAACTTTTGCAAACTTGCCTCTGCGGATGCTGATGAAGGTTCCCGACTAAATGGTCGCTATGACGTCATTCGGGTATATTGTGACGTCATGCTATTAGCTGGCTAGCTACAAAGGCGTCGAGACACATCTCTACGTTTGTCAAGATAAGTTTCAGTTTGAGAACAATTCCCGTTGTCAGCACACGAGCTTGGTAAGGGACTACTTACATCCGAATGGGTTATACAATTTTACACGATCTAGCAATTTATGTTATAGTTACAACACATCAAGACGAGTTGTTTGGGCAGTAAGAGCACGGTTTGGCTTGGCATTTGATTGACAGACAAAAGGACCGAGGGGCAGTTTCATTGTAATCTTTTAATCAAGTTATACACATTTCAATTGTTTTTTGTTGTTTATTTACGTAATTACTCTTGAACACTGTGTACAACACTGAAGAAACATTGTTGTAAGTTTGAAATTTCTGAAGCTAGTAGGCGGGGCTTGCTGATCTTGGCATCAGCCAATGGTAATAATCTTTAACAAACCGTGCTCTTACTACCATGATACAGCACGGGTAAGATCAAAGGTACCGCTCGCATCCCGTGCTACAACTTATAGATATTACCCTCATTCAAACGTTTGCGATGTAAATCTATATGATTGCTGAGAAAATGCCAACATATGTGCAACTATAGTAAGGATTCGAGCAAATTGGCTTTGCTTTCTATCCCAAACGTAGCCCGATATGCCGGTGGTCAGACTTCTGTGTGAGTGTGAGGGGGTCGATCCCGAAGTGAAGGAGTGTTTCCCTGCAGAGCCGACAGGTATGTGCGCTGTTACTTTGATAAACGTGAAAACCCTTTTTTACTTTGTTCAATTAAAAGACGTTTACCACTTCGGTGAAACGCACGATCACAGGTATGGTGCTGACAAACCTAGAAAGATAATTGGGGCGAACCGGGATTCGAACCCACAATCATAGTTTTCTGGTGTACCCAAGGGACGCAACTCTGCACAGCGAATCGCGGCGCCTTAGACGACTGGGCCACCCGTGCCCCCAGGAAAAGTCAGTTGTGATCACCATTGCCACAATAATACTTCCTTGAAAATTGGCCTACTGAAAATGCCTTTTTAATTTCAGGGTTCGTATTTGGTTGAATTTATTATAAAAAAAATAGATGTTCGTTTTCTTCATCGTCCTCATCAATGGGTCAGTAAAAGGAACCATGGAACGTCATATTGTAGGGAAGTTTATACTAAACTGGTACATTTTCTACCAACTTCTAAATGCTACGTAAAGAAAAAATGTTTGTACTTAACAGTAATTTAGTTATTTAAGAAAAGGATGATGTTATCATTATCAACAATATTCTGGACAAATTATGAGCCACGTTATCATCACCATAATCATACTATTCTTGATAATTGGTCAACTGAAAGGCCACTTTTTGGATTTGTTTCAGTGTTCCTTGATTCGGTTCCAAACTTTGTCACAATCAAACCAACCCCCATCCGTCCTCAACCACCATTCCAGTCGGACTTCAGTAAAGAGGACACACAACAAGCGAAGGAGCACGAGCTCCGCGTGCAGCTGATGGCTGCCCTTGCCGAGGTGGACATTCTACGATCTGACCTCCAGAAGGCCCAAGTCTGTTCAAGATGTCTGCAGACACAAGTCAGACAACTGTCGGATCAGAAAGACTCCCTAAGGGAACAGGTGCAACGCTTGGTGAAGGAGGTGGACATGCTGAAAGGGAAGGGACAGCGTGTACATTCTGGGCAAGGTGAAGGTGTTGAACTTGCTCAGATGTCAAGGGTCACACAGACCACATACTTTGGCCAGGCTGGCCAAACCCAGAATATTACAATGTCACATGGACCAGACAAGCTTTTACCAAGACGTCAACTTGAACTCTCCCAAAGCAATCTGTCAAAGCAAGACTTGTCATCAAGCTCAACCCTTTTGATAGAAAATTGTAACAAGAAGCTAAATGTACAGAAATCAAAATCTTTCTTTAGTGGTTTAAGCAAAATGTTCCGAAGACACAGATCCTGATGTATGTCTATAACGATCTAAATTTGCATAAATTCTTAACTTAAGCTTAAAAATAATGCGTTATAGTTATTTGTATTTATTAGATTGTGTTGGATAGAGTACGTGTGATACATTGCTAAGTGCTGACTATGGTAATGAATGGAGTGAATGGGTCCAATGCCGTTTTGAATAGTAATTCAGTTATATCGCGGCGTGTTAGCATCATGAGAGAGGAAAACCTTCAGTGATACAAGTTTTTTAAACGTTTTCCATTTGTTTAAATCTACGCGCTGACGATCATAGAAACATTATGAGGTCGGAGCTGAAATTCGAACCCACGATCCGAAGTTAATGGTACGCCTTAGGGACATACATGTAGCTCTCCACAGCAACATTGCGCCTCATAGGCTGCGCCACCCATGCCCTCGCCCAGTTTAGTTATCAAGTAATTTCTGCCCCAGTAAACTTTAAGACTATGTTATTTTAACATGTCGAAGGAAAGCTAAGATGTGACTATTTTGTCGATGCCAATGTTTCTGTGGAAAATAACGACAATGAGTTATTACGTCATCGCCAGTAGTTTAACAGATAATGTGATCTTAGATTCGCATATCAGAATTGTATAAAGTCAACAAAGGTATTATGTTTCTGGTCTTTTGGTTTGGCGAAAAAATGAAGCGACGAAAAATGACGAGTTCATTTGAATGCGCCTTCAGGGGCGGTCGGGTAGCCTAGTGGTTAAAGCGTTCGCTCGTCAGGTCGAAGACCCGGGTTCGATTCCCGACATGGGTACAATGTGTGAAGCCCATTTCTGGTGTCCCCCGCCGTGATATTGCTGGACTATTGCTAAAATCGGCGTAAAACCATGCTCACTGCATGCGCCTTCAACACTGACCTGAACGGTTCAATCTACGTATCGTGGGAGGGAAACATAGAACTTTGTTTCCGGTACGAAAAGACCTTTCCTAAGCATGGATTGCTGAGGATAATTCTAACCCAAGATATGAATGATATTTCAATTGAAGGCATGCACACTCATAGGTTCCCAGTAAGAGCGGACCAATGAGCATCGGCTGGTGACCAATCATCTTCCCGAGGCAAGAGAGTTAACTGACTATAAAAGTCCAGTTTCCACCCTTGCCGAACTAGGCTGGTATTATTGAGTATGGATTTTGGCTGGACTAACGATTCCAATCAAAATCGCGCAATGAAATCGAAATCCGGTTCGTAAACTGTCATGCAGATTTCGGTCGATTGCAGGATTTGCAAAACGTGCACCGCCAAAACGTTGTCAACAGATATTTTCCAAATCTTTTCATGGTTTTAATCAAGTTGCTCACGTAAGACCCGTTTTGTCACAATTTAGGTCTTGATTATCGACCAGGGCCCACTTGCACAAAGCGATCTTAGCGCTAAGATGATCGTAACTCCCATACTTTAACAAAGGCTTACAATAGTCGTAGCGCTAAGATCGCTTTGTGCAAGTGGGCCCTGATCGTCCTGACTTGGCGCCGCCATTTTGTTTGAATCAAATGCATACGAGAGGTGGAATCTGATTGGTCCATAGGAGAGGCATAGAAGGAACATAACTCGTAATACCCACTGGTGGCGCTACGATCGAGCCAAGCAATTCCAGTAAACTCTCTTGCCTCGGGAAGATGGTGACAATGTGTCAACTAGATGTCTGTATGATATCCGCTGGCGTTAGTTGTTGCTCATCCCACCGACCACTGGGTTGCGTGGCCCAGACACGATAATAACACTGCGATATGGTTGGAACATCGTTGAATAGAGGTGTGGCCTTAGCTGCCACGATTCTGTGGCTGATAGTTCGAATCCCAAATAATAATCCTTGGTTTGTCAGCACCACAGCCGCAGGTGTTGGTTTCGCCAAAGTAGTAAACGCATGTAACATGCGTCACCGTGGACTTTCTTCCTACTAAAGGTAGATATCGAGCACATATTCCGACCGATGCTTAATCCCAAAACGAGGCCCACATCAACGTACTGTTATTAGCATCACGATTTTGCACTGGTCCTGAAATGGTATGTATAATAGGAAGTCCACTGTGTCGTATTTAGATCGCAATTAACTATAGCCCATTAACCGCTTTTAGCAATATTGCAGCAATATCACGACAGGGGACACTAGAAATGGGCTTCAAACATTGTACCCATATGGGGAATTGAACCCGGGTCTTTGATGTGAAGTGCAAACGCTTTAACCACCAGGCTACCCCACCGCCCTTCACTAATAGTTAAAAGTTGAAGCTTGTAGTAACTTTTAACAGAAAGCCAACGTGAAACAATATGAGAGAGCTGGCGTATTTGTATGATGTGCACGAAATCAATAGAGATGAACTGAACTGGGATTATCTTCTCAGGAAAATCATTAATGTTGGAATTGTAGCGTCAAACCTTATGTGTTAAATTATGTCCAGATTCGGAGCGTCGAAATTAATTTCACCAAGTAAACCTCTTTCGATCCGTCGTATGTTCGGGAAGATGTTGTGGAAGAATTTTGACATCCCACGGGGTTTGTAATGCACTCCAAATTATTCCAGCTACAGTCCCGTGAAGATCCCGGGTAGAATAGGTCTTCAGCAACCCATGCTTACCGTAAAAGGTGACTATTCTTGTCGTAAGAGGGATCGGGTGGTCAGGCTCGCTGACTTGGTTGATGCAGTCATCGTATCCCAATTGCGTGGATCGATGCTCATGATGTCAATCACTGGATTGTCTGGTCCAGACTCGATTATTTACAGACCGCCGTCATATAGCTGTAATATTGCCGAGTGCGGCGTTAAACAACAGACAAACAAACACATATTCCAGCTTCTCGTGTATAGTTATATCTTTGTGTTTGTGCAACTCAAAGATATGACTTGTAGGTGAAAAGGGTATATTTGAAAGCACGTGGCATTTCCAGTGAACCCTCATATCCCATCTATGTAGTTTCATATTTTAGTTCACTTTTTTGATTTTTTTTTGTCTTTATCCTCATTGGATAACGTTGTAGACCCCTTCTCCGTATTTGTTGAGGCCATGCATCGAGTAAGACCGGTCACATGGAGTTTTGTACAAACTGGTTTCGAAGAACTATATTTGTTTGTCAATGGAATTTTCAGCACCTGTTATATCTTTGTGTACGAGTCTGAATGTTTTCTTTCACTCGCCAGAAGTGGCCATAGGTAGTCTTGTGGTTCAAGTTACGCGAAACAGTCATCAGGATCTGCTGATCGTGGGTTCGAATCCATGATTATGTCTGCACCATACCCGTGCTCATTGGTTAACCAACACACATGCCGTGATATGACTGACGTATTGCTTAAAGCGGTGTTAGACCCAACGCACTCACTCATTCATTCCACAGTGAAGTAAAGTTTCCCTCTACATTTCGTTCTTTCTGGATAAGGGGCGGTCGGGTAGCCTGGTGGTTAAAGCGTTCGCTCGTCACGCCGAAGACTCGGGTTCGATTCCTGACATGGGTACAATGTGTGAAGCCCATTTCTGGTGTCCCTCACCGTGATGTTGCTGGAATATTGCTAAAAGCGGCGTACACCCATACTCACTCACTCTTTCTGGAGCACATATCTGTGTGATGCGTGCGTGTATCCGCTTATTGGAGTGTAAATTTTGTTACGAATGACATTGTTTTTTACCAGTGTCTTTTTTTCCACCGAACCTAATAATCGCACTTACAAGAAACAAAAAGCAGCAATTGCCTGAGTCACACAAGTTATATGTGCTCGAAGACTGAAATAACCAAATAGAGAATTTGAACTTCCGATAAGAAAATAAGTCAATTTTGTTTTTGTATTCCAAACCGTCCCACGGTTCATAGGACCTATAAACCATATAATAATGAAGGCCTCATCGTATGACAAACTTGGTAATAATTGTGAACATAGTTTCGAATGGATTAATCCGCTAGATGCTATATAACTGGTTGTTGCAGGTGGTTCAGTACACAAAGATCTTATGTTAACCGCTGGCGGGGGAGAGTAGCTGGATGGGTGACAGCGCTCAAGATTGAACACTGACTTTCTAAAGCTTCGGCCCTCCCCGACACTGAAACACAGGTTATTTAAAATGACCTTGTTCAACATCTGCCCGTTCACCCACCATCAAATGGTAGGATGGGATGGTAATGGTTGATTCAAAACCTTCAGCTTAGTTACATACGTTAGAGAACTGATAACAGATTGTGAATGCACATTGATGTCTTAACCGGGGTAGAAATGTCGTTAAATGTGAGCATCCCTCTGCGAGGTGTGGAGTTCTATGCGTAATAATCATGACAATAATACGATTACTACTGATAGTAATTGTTAAAAAGGATCAACTGTATCCATGTGTCATTGATTTCCTTTCAATATAGTGATATTCCTAACACCTTGACCAATACTGGGCTAATGTTCCGATAGTTAATTTCGACGTAGTATGCATAACGTCAGTAGACATACAAGAAGATTAAAATTAAAGAAAACAATTCAAGTACATTAACGACATATAGATAGTCAATGAAGGTATCATCAAGTCAATAAAAACCCATGCCACACGAGACAGTTCCTATCGGTTAAACTATCATCTGCAACAAAAAATACCCCACGTGTCCCCCTTTAACTTCACCTCAAACTGTCGGCGAGAAAGAGACCGGCTCTGTTCCAGGCCGACATCTGTGCACCCAGTAGTTTGGAACTTTCGTTCACCGTGTGTCAGAATTTTACAACGTGTCTGTATACAAACTACCAATCAGATTGCTTATTTTCGTCACCTGATTTTCGTCTTATTGCCAATACCAAAATTATACCTGCAAAAACCTGTCTTCTTTTCAAACACATTTTCAAACATATTCTCTCCCGCAATATTTTTTGAAAGGTGAAGTTGTTAGCGTTTCCTTGGCAACAACACAGATAGCGGGATTTTTTTAATGATTTTTGTCGTTAAATAAACGCCCATTGAGGACACATAACCAAGACCTTCTTTTTAGTTATTATCAAGTTTATGCAAACATAGATCGTTAAAGACTTTACACACATTAGTATCTGTGTCTTCGGAACATTTGGCTTAAACCATTAAAGAAAGATTTCGATTTCTGTACATTTTGTTCCGTGTTACGATGTTCTATCAAATGGGTTGCGCTTGATGACAAGTCTTTCCTTGATGGCAGATTGCTTTGAGAGAGTTCAAGTTGACGCCTTGGTAACAGCTTGTCTTGGCCATGAGACATCATAATATTCTGGGCTTGGCCAGTCTGGTCAAAACATGTGGTCTGTATGACCCCTGACCTTTGAGCAAGTAGATCACGTTCATCCTGCCCTGAATGTACACGCTGTCCCTTCCCTTTCAGCATGTCCACCTCCTTCCCCAAGCGTTGCACCTGTTCCCTTAGGGAGTCTTTCTGATCCGACAGTTGTCCGACTTGTGTCTTCAGATGGAGGTTATTCAGATCCAGACATCTGTAACAGACTCGAGCCTCTTGGATGTCAGAGCGGAGAGCCTCCACTTGGGCAAGGGCAGCCATCATCTGCACGCGGAGCTCGTGCTTCCTCGCTTGTTGTGTGTCCTCTTTACTGAAGTCCGACTGGAATGGTGGTTGAGAACGGATGGGGGTTGGTTTGATTGTGACAAAGTTTGGAACCGCATCAAGGGACACTGAAACAAATGTAAAAAGTGGCGTATCGGTTGACCAATTATCAATAATAGTATGACTATGGTGATGATAACGGGGCTCATAATTAATAATAAGTAAATTATTGTTAAGTACAAACGATTTGGGTTTAAGTAGCATTTAGAATTTTGTATGAAGTACAACGGAGATGGTTCCATGGATTGACAAACACCGTTGTGTCGAAGTTGAAGGAATCTACGTAAATACTTCGAGTTATCCGAGGTTCGACATAACCGCAAATAATGAATAAAGAAGGGATACGAAGGGAACGAAATTTTATTCGAGACAACCGCAAGTTCGACACATCAAAGCTCGACACAACGGTGTTTGACTGCAGCTACACCATAACGGGGCATTCATTGTAAGAAAGAAGATGTATAGCCATATAACTATCTCCCTTGTTTATGAACGATTTGTTGTTTAAACAACAAAACCTGCACTGATATTTCTACATTTCAAGGTTACTATACACATACCCGTCGACTCTGTGGGGGCAGAACATTCCGCCACCTCGGAATTGTAACCCTCACTCTCAGACACGGACAGAAGTTTGTCCACCGGCATATTACAGTTCGTTGTAACTAGACAAAACAAACCAGAAACAGTTTACACGATATTAGGATATCTTAATCATAACATAGAAGACCTACAGGTTCATAAAGATTCACATTTAGACAAGTATCGAACACAATCAGATGCAATGATAAGAACCTGATAAGAATAGTTTTCACATTTAGGCCTAGTACTTCGTGTAAGGTTTTATTTTTATGTTAAAATTGAGTAATAAATCGTTAGCTCACGTCCACATACATTAGTTAGTTAGGAAATGTAATACCTTCTTACCTAAAATGTGTACAGACAACTGAAATCGTTCACAAACTGAATTAATTCCGATAATCGTGGAGCTGTTCTGTGATCCCTCTGTGGCTACAGCCGTGACAATGACATGACGTCACAGTATGGGAAGACGACGTCATAGCGACCATTTTGTCGGCAACCTTCGTTCGCTTTCGTCACGCCTATGTAAGGAGCGGAATAAGCCGAACATGCATCCCCACACTTAAACTGGTTTCGGCTCGCTATGCGCGTTGCCAGCATATATTGCGGTATGAGACACGGGTCCAGCTTGCCCCTTACTCCTAATCCTCACAGGCAAGAGAGCTGTTAATGTGAAAATAGTATAATTGTTGATATCACATATTAAATTTATTGATATCTAAAATTCACTATTATTTTAAGATATCACAACATGTATAACTGTGAAGATCCGGGGTAGAATAGACCCTCAGCAACCCATTCTTGCCGTGAAAGATGACTATGCTTGTCGTAAGAGGCGACTAACGGGATCGGGTGGTCAGGCTCGTTGATTTGGTTGGAGCATATCATCAATCCCAATTGCGTGGATCGATGTTCATGATATCAATCACTGGATTGTCTGGTCCACACTCGATTATTTACAGACCGCCGTCATATAGCTGGAATGTTGCTGAGTGCGGCGTTAAACAACAAACCAAACCAAAACCAAACATGTATAACTGTTATCAATAATGCGATTATGAGGAACAAAATGAATACCTGATATCACTAAATGTACTTATGATTTCTCAATTAAAAAAACCACAATATTTTGAAAACATGAAATACACTTTTAATGCATCTGTAGTCCTCGCCACTTGAAAGAAATCAGGTAATATCGCGATTATCGCGTAGAAAAAGCATGCTCGTGTAGTGTTTAAAGCACGCATTGCTAAATATAGCCAACCCTTACTTGGAATGTACGTGAATTGTATCCGAAATGCATGGATCGATGCTCATGATGTCAATCACTGGATTGTCTGGTCCAGACTCGATTATTTACAGACCGCCGTCACAAATGTTGCTGAGTGCGGCGCTAAACAGCAAACAAAACGTTGGGAGAGTCGAGAATGGAGAGAGGTGTTTGGGGTGGTGGTGGTGGTGGTGGTGGTGGTGTGTGTGTGTGTGTGTGTGTGTGTGTGTGTTTAGGGTGGAGAGATGTGGTCAGCATTAGGGTGCACAGGTGGACATATGTGGTTAAGGGTGTGTGTGTGTGTGTGTTTAGGGTGGAGAGATGTGGTCAGCATTAGGGTGCACAGGTGGACATATGTGGTTAAGGGTGTGTGTGTGTGTGTGTGTGTGTTGGGGGGGGGGGGGGGGGGGGGGGGGGTGGAGATATGAGACTAAGAGGTGTTCTGGGTGGAGAGAGCTGGGTAGGGTGGACATACATACTCAGGGTGGAGAGAGGCGAATGGAGTGACGCGTGTCGGGTGAAGCGAGGTGGGTTGGGTGGAGGGAGGTGGTTGGGGTGGGGAGGGGTGTGAGGGTAGAGATAGGTGGTTAGTTCGGGGAGACAAGGTGGAGAAAAGACCGGATAGAGATAGGTAACTGAGATGGAGGGAGGTGGTTAGAGTAGAGACGGCAATAATGAGTCACACACACATGAAGTCGTTATACCATATATACTAACAAAAAAGTGAATAATGAACATTTTTTAAATATCTGTTTTGTAGTGAAGACCGAGTTCACAATTGTATAAAAAAATATCCACAAAAATATTCATGATCACTAACTTTTTTGTTCTGTATATTTAAACGTGACTGCATGCGCATTAAGATGGAAACAGTTCGCGGTCTACCCACCGACAAATAGGCATGTGTTTATCTGATTTATGAGAAGGAAATGTTTTAAATACCAAAGCAAATGTTGTGTAATATAAGCAAGGTATTATTGCGACTCGGTTTTCACTCAAATGACAAATATGGGTAGCATTACCCCGTTTCTACTATTTGATTACACAAACACACCCTGCACGTAGCACAGGTTAGTCAGAGCCACCCAACCCATCGCCACTGACGTTGTTCACAGCTATCGTAGGGTTGTTCACTGAGCCTCCCCCACACACCTGACACTCTACAACGCAGATGGTAGAATAATGGCGCCAGGCTCAAATTATCTCAAGGTATAGTGAAGCTACAGTTCGCCTTGTGACCTGAATAGCCCACCTGTGTTACATGTGGCGAAAGGCCGAAATCCCTACAATGTACAACTGCCAGATCAGCCACCCATGTTGTCAGTACAACTGTACGTTAGGGTAATTATTTCATACTGCGATCTCGTTGAAGTGTGGCGTCACACCAGGAAGCTCCACTTTACAACAGTACTCCGTGAGTTTCCGTCGAAACGATTTCTGTCTATGCTATGGAGTTAGTGACCTTATTGGTGATTCTGCTTAGCGTGTGCTGTTCTGTGTTGATTTATCAAAAATGGAGAGATATATCGTCAAAGCCCTTACCCCCAGGACCAAGAGGGTTAGGGACGTTCTTCAATTTTGTAAATGCTGTTTCCAACTTCACTCTCCACGTCCACGCCGACCGCTGGGCGAGGCAGTATGGGGACATCGTTTCAGTGGCACTGTTTGGGCAGAATATCGTCATCCTTAACGAGGGGAGGTTAATGAAGAGGTTTTTCTGTGACGATTCCCTGAAAATGGTCACCAATGATAGACCGAGCTCGTTCGCTTCAAGGTTCGTTTTCAAGGACCAGTGTATAGGAGTGAGCTCCTTGGGTAAACATCACACACGAATGAGGAAGCTATTTCACAGTTCCTTGAAACTCTACGGGGATGGCGTCCAGTGCTTTGAGGACACGATCATTGAAGAACTTCGGCGCGTTGTGTTGCAGATTAACTCGAACGCGGAAGTACCACTGGATGAAATAATATCCAACTTTTTGCTGAATGCCATACACATTCTCGTAAGTATTGTATATATTTTAAGTCCCTTCTGCAACGATGTCACTTAATTGGCGATTGCTGAACAATCTTGGATACAGATTGGGGAATTCGGGATGCCATTAACATATAACATGCGATATGAATACAAATTATTCAGTAAACAAATTGCAGTGGGTATTTTATTTAAAAAACATATATTCAGATCCGTGTATCGAGTTTTTTTCATAAAAAGGAAGTCAGGGACAGTCATGATGACTCTGTTTGTAGTACAGTTGCACCCAGTTATAGTGTTCATATATCGAGTGTAGGGAAACGATACATCCCATGTGTATGACGCGGTAGCTGTCATAGAGATTATTATGCGAGCATGTGTGTCATACTGATATACGAAACGAGTGTCAGAATTCTTGTATTTCCCGAGTTTGAGGGTAATACATGCATTCCTACACGAGTTTCTTTATTACCCATAATGTTTTAATGCTTTTGAGCTCCCCCTTAGAAAGATGCAATGTTCACCACCGCTGTCCGAGAAAAACACATTTTTTTATCGAATGACGTAACAATATTCAGCTATGACGTCATTTCTTGTGTAGCGTCATTCCGACATAGATCACAACAAGATTCGAATTACGTCAACAATGCCGTTCGGATGACGGAAACAATACACTGGTGCGCGAGAATCTTGAGTGATACTTGCACAAGTGCACAAACGAGTTTTATTAACTCGCTTATTTCTGGTCTAGTTTTCTTATGAGTAATGTTGTATTAACTCCTCAACTAGAGCATGAAGGATACACAATGTCGTTGAGTGGTGTTGGTGTTTACGGGACGAAGCAATTCTGCATTCCACCAGTGACTTTATATTTATCAATTGTGTAGATTACAGGCGTGACGCGAAATACCAAATGTCGGAGGTATTATATTGCTTGAATTATGAGAAAAACTGAGCCGAAGGTTAAGGTGCCGTGTGTGTCGTTTAAGTTTCCCTGTCTGGCTTGGCAGGGGTCCCCATATGTCGGTATGTTGATACAAACCAAAGTACAGTAAACTACGGTTATAACGAACACGCTTATAACGAACTGACGGATATAACGAACTAACATTTTAGTCCCGGCTATTTGCTGTAGTTATGCTGAATATATGCTTATAGCGAACTACGGTTATAACGAATTAAAATAGTAGTCCCTTTGAGTTCGTTATAACCGTAGTTTACTGATATTTACTGACAAGTTTAAGGAAAAGAGATAGAGTGGGACCTCGTTAATCCGAATGCTTGGGGTCCGGAAAAATCGTTTTCTGGGCGACCTTTTTGAAAGCGTACATCTCACTCGCCGTATCTTACGTCTCACAGTCCACCCTGAATCCCGAGTACTACTGCACAAATCTGAAAAAAACATTGCGAAAAGTTTCGATTTCAAATTAAATTAGTGAAAAAAATAAAATTTAAAGATTTTAATTGTTACGTATACACCATTCCTCCGACATCTTCCCGAGGCAAGAGAGTTAACTGACTATAAAAGTCCAGTTTCCTCCCTTGCCGAACTAGGCTGGTATTATGGAGTTACATTTTGACTGGGCTAACGAGTCTATGCATAGTCAAATCAAAATCGCGCAACGAAATCGAAATCCGGTTCGTAAACTGTCGTGCTGATTTCGGTCGATTGCAGGATTTGCAAAGCATGTGCACCGCTAACTCGTTGTCAACAGACATTTTTAAAAATCTTTTTATGATTTTAAACAAGGTGCTCACGTGATTCGATGCAATTTGCGATGTAGGACCCGTTTTATCACAATATAGATCTTGATTATCGTCTTGACTGGGCGCCGCCGAATTGTTTGAATAAAATGCCAGTGATACAGAGAGTAGGAATCTGATTGGTCCAGAGGAGAGGTTAAGAAGAGACATAACTCGTAATAACCACTGGTGGCGCTACGATCGAGCCCAGGAATTCCAGCCCAGTTCAGCAAGGGTGGAAACTGGACGTTTAAAGTCAGTTAACTCTCTTGCCTCGGGAAGATGCTCCTCCGAAATCTTCGTACGATTCTATTTGCATCCCGCGTACCCATATTGCTCTTAATAGACTCTGATTCGCGTGTACCGAAAGAGGATTAACAGCCTTATATATGTTGGGACAAACATTACTTTAGTTTATAGCATCAACAACTACAAATTCATTCAACACCGTTTTCACTTGATGCGTATAACAATGAGATTGTAGCACTTAAAAAAACAGGTTCCTGGTGATACAGTTACTTCCGTATATACAGGAACAGGTTCTGTTTTAGCACCATTTAGTGTGGTATTCAACCGGACTTGACTACACATTGTTCGGGGGACTTTCCCTTTCGGCTGGATTTGGGATACTGTACCGGACATCTGTTTTTAGCGCTCTCGATCTTCTTTTTGGAAAGAAACACCCCCCCCCCCCCCCCCCCCCCCCCCCCTCTCTCTCTCTCTCTCAAAAGGTTGTTATAGCGTGAGCAACCGTCGACCCTTCATTTGTCACTTGAACGTACAGTCTGCATGGCGTAACCCTACCCGGACACGAATCTCTACAGCGTGCGTGCGCTGCTAACAGGACCTGTATTTTCACACTCGATCCGTCGCAGTGGTGACTCAGCATAACGCCACTGCCACAGGCTAATTTGCATATCACGTGACCGGACTTTTCTCTTGTTTGTAAACAAACGCGCTTTTTCAGAAATCAGTATAGAACGGACTAATGCAAGTATTTGGGGGAGCTTTACATATTGTTTTGCATAACTATATAGATATGCTACTACAACTGCGACAGTGAGATGCATGACAATATATATTTATGCATCAAAGTGACCGTGTCGCTAGCTCTCCGCTGGGCTTCGATGACAGCACGTGGAGCCGTACAACCAATGTAAACATAGGATCACTAAGCAAAAATAAGTAGATGTTTACGTATTTGCATACTTTCTGAATGAAAGTTAACCATTCTTTGACATTTGTTTATGAAAATGTGTAGACTTGTCAAACATGAAACGGATGAAAAGCATATGCAATATCTTGAATGGACTATGAAAGATGTGACGAATCGTCACATGGCTCTGGCCTGTGGCAGAGGTACTTTGCTAGCTGGCTGCCGGTGTCCCGGTATAAACTCTCCCCCGTACAAATTCTCTCCCCGGAGAGTTTATACCGGTACAGATTCTCCCCCGGAGAATCTGTTCTGAAATAAAATCTCCCCCGGGCGGATATGTTTCGCGCCCCCCTCAGTATAAAGTCCCCCCCCTGATTATTCGGTTTGTTGCAATGTCTTTAAGTACTATATTCTTTAAATAGTTATCTTTAATATAAGGAGGGTTACTTTAAAAAATAGATTATGAAATATGGTCATAATGAATTGATATTTCAGCATATTTTATTTGGTAACTGTACCTTCCATCCTAAAATAATTATAAGACATAATCATACCAAACAAATTTGAATGAAATGACTTAATGTAACAAATACATGTACGGTTACTGTTGTAACAGAATTCAGAAATCTTATTAATCCTCGCAAACATTCTGTTTTACCACTAACTACGTAAAAACTGTCAACATATCCACGCGCGCCTCCAGCTCAGGCTGTCCGTTATACTCTGATTTAAGATCTAAAATATATTCCTTAATACAGGCTACGATTTGAAAATGGTATCAGTGTAATATCAGTGGCTAGAATATCATGGTGCAAGCAGGTTTCTGTTAAACATACAACATCATAACTATCTAATTCAGCACTGATAAAATCTACTTTGTCTTTAAGAGTGCGTACGTTTAGATATATAATCTTTAAATCTGGACTATGCAAAGGTCCTGGATTCGGATGGATATCACCGCAGCCGAAGAGAAAAAGTAAAACTAAGAATGATAATCGGAAATTAGATAAGCAAAGTAACCCAAAATATAGAGAAATGTGTATCATCTTCCCGAAATGATAAGCATGTAGAATAGATTTTTTTAAAAACCCACCCCAGCCTGTATTGAATAACATCAACCGGCATCGTCAAAGCAAAGTGTACATGTAATTGTTACAATCGGGCTGGCCGTGAATCTTAATGAAGAACACCTTGTTAAAAAGACACACCGAAACTGATCGACCACAACCATCAAAATAGTAAAAATGATACAGTATAACCTCATACTGAAGAGAAAACAAGAAAAACACAGAGAAGTAAAATAGCACGTCATATAGAAATGAGATAAAGTAATCTGAGAAGGGATTCATACGTTATATACAACTTAAAAAAATAATATTATGAAAAACGAAAGGAAAAGTGCCCCCCCCCCCCCCCCAAAAAAAAGAAAGAAAAATACCCGCAAAATCAATCAAAATCAAAATCAACAAATAAAAGGAAACAACCACACACACAAGTAACTAAATGTATATTTAGATAAATATATAACCCAGAACAAATAAAGGAGAGAAAAAAAATAATAAAAAATACATTTTTTTATTAAACAAATAAACATTCAAACCTTGAGGAATATGAAAAGCCAATGTGTAATACTAAAGCAAGAAGACACGATAAACTGTACCAACATTACAATGTTCCCCGATGTGCATGCTTTACCTGGGCTACATACGGGTGATCTAAGTTAGAAATATATGACTTATATAAATTCTTTATACACGGTAATATCGAATATTCTTGGATTATCTTTTTTTTTCAAATGTGCTCCATTCAAGAAAAGTTATATAGAATTATATATTTACTCTCCCCCATGTATTTTGCTCTTTTATGTAAAAGCTTTTTCACCTTACACATTTTAATTACAGATTCCTTTGTTTTGATTTTAATGCAAACAACCCAGGCTTTTGAAATGCTATGCAAAAAGTATGCTCAAAAGTTCGGCGACTTTGTTTCCATAGTGCGCGGTTTGGCGCATAAACATAAAACCAATATTTATGAGTATATAAGACTTTATCACTGTATCCAATTCCAAAATTTTAGATATAAACTTAGGACAGTTCAGTTTAAAATTCTTCAACCTTTAATTCATCACA